ATTGGCTGTGGTTCAACCTGGATGCTTTATTGTGGACTGATATAAATGGAACTTAAAGTAAATTAGACCACATATATGACAGTTTAGCTTTCATTTTCATTCGAAAACTTTAAGCAATTCATTTTATGTAAGCTTATATGCACATATTTCATGATTTTATCAATACAGTATCTTCTATGCTGACTGCAAGAACAAAGTTCGCGATTAAGAAGTCATTTGTGGTTAAAAAAAAAGACCTCTTAAGAGATCAAGCTAACAGTTTATCTAAATGGTGTTATAAGATTGTCAGTGTTAGTTTACAACGTGAACAAGATTGTGCAAGTCATGTCAAATGTTAACTAGAAGATAACTGTAAAGATACCCCTTGTTTAAGTGTGATTTCACCACCTAATCTCTTGCCAACAACATTTTTTCTGCACTATTGACCATGTAAACATGGCAACAGTTTTTGATACTTTCATTTGTATTTGCATTATGGTTTTATTGTTGAACTACAGTAGTACTTTGAACTGAGCATGTGCTACAGCACAGTCAGTTATAGAATTTGAAGGAAATTGCTTAGTTACGCCAATAAGATGGTGGTTGTGAGGATCTAATTTTGATTGGCATGCAAAAGTTTGGAGAGCTTTTTTCTCATTATTCTAGTCAAAATAGTTGAAAATGGGTAGATCAGAGTTCATGCCAATGCCAAGGATCAGCTAGTACAAAGGATCCATGTGAACCTAAGTCAATTTCCTTACACAAATTAGTTGTTTCTTTCCTTTGCTATGAACTTTATAACTTTATACTAAGTACCAGTAAACTTATTTATGAAACTGCGAACAGTCAGGAGAGTACTACTAGCTTATTACATTAAAGGTCAACTACTTAACTAGTAAGGTCATGAGGATATCTGTCACATACTTTGATAACTTAGTTAAAGGTATTTAGTCCTCTATTGTGATGTATTGAAGAGTCCATTAAAGGGTGGAATTATCAGATTAAATATAAACAATATACATAAACTATAGAAGACTGAGAATGTCGTCTGATTGACAAGAAAAAAAAATTCAAAATGAGTTATCAGTGTAGTGTTTTTAAAAACTGTGGAAATTTGAATGAAAATTTTGAATAACTTCAATTCTCTCATTTCATAAATATTCAAAATAAAATTTTAAACTTTATACTATTTGTCTTAGAATATCCTCGGGTCCATAGAAATATAGGGTTCAATGATTTTACATTTAAAATAGACACACTTCCCTCCCAGAAATTCAGGTAAAAATGACTTACTTTTTGGACTGATAATCATATTGTACTGGTACAAATAATATTTTTTCCAGTGGTTGATATTTTCATCAACCCAAAGTTAATCTAAGACTTTCAGTAGTATTTTGTAATTGATATTTCAATTCATATGAAAATGATTGCCAAAATTAAATTCAGAAAACAGTGTAGGCCTAGAGTTAGTTCCTTAATGTTTCATTCGCTCAAGTAACGTCTGCGAGACGAAAATCTACACTTTTTGTTTCCAATTGATCTGGCATGAAAAGGTAACATCTCAGTGATCTTGGAGAGATTCTGGTAGTTATGAATTTTTTTAACAATATCCTCAAGGCTTGCCAAGTCATAAATCAAATTCCTTCATCTCATTGGTCATTTTAATCATAAATTTTCATATTATTATAAATGATATATAGGTCGTATTATGTATCACAGAATCAGCAATCAAAATTAGACTTCAATGCACAATGATGAATTCATGTGAAAATATTAATGATGTACAGCATGAGATGAGAGTCTAGTCTTTATATTTTTTAGTTGATTTGAAATAAAACCTCGCATAGAATTTTAATTCTGAATAGATCCATGGCTAGCAGAAATTGAGCTGGTAAAGCAAATATTTTCTTTTGATTTTCCAAAAATTTTGTTTTGATTTCCAAAAATTTCTTTGTTTTTTTTTAGATGGCTTTGATCTTAAGAGAAATCCATCAGGAAGGTACTCAAAGCAACCAATATAAAACTTACAAGTCATAATAATAGCCCACTAAATTTGACCCACATATCAATGATATCATCCAGTACAATGAACACTAAACCTGTAGGAGTTCATTAACAACCACTTAGACATTCTCATTACATAAACCAAGTCATTTGTTTTATTAGCTTTCATTTTCTAACACTATCTATTATTACAATTAAATACTGATCATATAAATAATAGCTCTTATAGCTTGACCTCATTTTACATCTGGTTATAAAGATCATGTACTGTGATAAATCTTAATGAAATTAAGTTCAACTCCTACTGATCTACTGTTCTGAATCTTGGATGAGTCTGTAACTTCAGTTTCTTAAGGTGTTTCAATATCAACAAATTTACACAGCTTACAGAAGAAATACAAATTTCTGTAATATCCTAGTCCATGGTAGACTTAACCCTCAATAGCCTTCAAATTTCTGACTTCTTTTCGTTTGAATTTCCTACGATGACTATTCATATTAATGCTTCTTATTTTCTTAGATACATGAAAACATTTTGTTTCACAATACAGGTTTTATCTTGAGATGATTATTGATATATCAGAAGAACGTTGACTATTATATTTTCAGCTATTTCAGCTAAAGAAATGATACTACCACAGATAGTATTACAGGGACATTCTTAGTTAACATATCTAATTATCTTAACCTTTAACTTGCACCTTGTTTTATCATAAATCTTTACTTTGTGACCTAGGCTAGTGCTTTCATGAGACTAGGTTCTCATCACCATCTAACAAAATCTTTTCAATAGGTGAATGATGTCCCCTAATCTATCAAAAATATAGGTATCCAATTGGATTTATCAAAGTTATTCAGTAAAATCAACCATATAACATATTTATGCACATCTGTGACAATTTCAAACATAAAATGAGTTGTCCATGTTATTTTTAGGTACCGGTAGTATTGATCAAAACATCCATCTGGTTTATACTGTTATAACAACTATTTCTTATACCTTAAGTATTGCATTAGCTTATCTTTTTTTGTGTACCGATATTCAATAATATCAATAATGTAAACTAATAACTATTCCACTTATCAATTAATCATCAATTTGGACTTAACAAATCAGTCAATGAAGAAATTTTGAACCAGGTTTCACGGTTCCTATTAAAAACCTAACAAGTAATATTTGATTTATTTTGCAAGATTTAAGGTTGACAAAATATGATGTTATGTTCTGTAGTCCTATAAAATTATGCTTGAAGCAAACAATATTTAAGTTCATCAAAACAACAATGGCTTGAAACAATGCAGCTGAGCTTGAATTACAAGTCATTTAATGCTTTTGTTGAATTTTCATGTACAATAGATCAATGAATGTACACATTATTATCAGGTTATAATAAGTAAAATTTTTTATTTTTCAAGTTTGTCAAGCTTACTTGTAGATAGTATGTTTTAACAGCACAGGTAATGAACCACATAAAACTATAGGTACTTAGTTTGGATTATACTTAGTGTTCACATTGTATTCATTAAAGATATTAGTGATTCTAAAGATGCTTATTCTTTTAGACACCTGATACCACTTTTCATTATTTCATTATTGATATTCTGTGAAAAGTGCATGAGTATGTTGTTTGGATTTCAAGTTATGTTTTGCGGTTTGAATAATTAGTACCGGTACTTGGTTTATTCATCTATATTAATATCCAGAAGAAGATTCAGTTACTAGCCAAATTTTTGATTGAACGTAGCAATCTCATTACCTACCTCCTTCATCTTCACTCCCACTAAATGTCGAATTGATGGCCTCTACTGACATTTCTTCATCAATAATCCAAATACCACATTGATATAATATTACCACAATGCACTTTATTTACCACAATATTTTACCACATATTCTGACACTATAATAAAATCACTATTATAATCCAAGGTTAAGTGCTTCCTTCGTTGTTAATTGTTGTCTTTATACAGAAATAATATGAAATTTACCTAAAAAAAACATATTGAAATTCAGTAACTGGGCCTGCATCCATATTCTATAATAATTACCAACTGGTATTGTACACACACAGTAATGTTGTAAGCTTACATATTGTTTCTTTGAGACTTTTCTCACTACTTTCTTGTGACACTCATTACTATAAACAGTAACCGCTGATATAAAACACACTTTATTTTGCTTAGGTCAGGTAAGCAGTACTTAGACTAAGATGCAAAAGCTTATTTTAACTTCAGATTCAAGATTGGGCATTATGGCTTACACTATATGTCATTATATCATACTTTTATGTTTTTCAGAAAGGGGCTGAATATTACTGAACTGGGAATGATAGACCAGTAAGCAAAATTTTGTTTTGCCTACACTACGTCCAAATAATATTGACATTGCCAATCTATTCTCAGACAAATGGTGCCAGGACAAGTTACTGGGTACACTGCCTGTGTATCTCTTTTGCTTGAAGACATTGTACCAGTACCAGTAGCAATAGTCGACTTTCTTTGATGAGAACAAAGAAAAAAACTGGACTGATGAAAAATGATGACAAATCCAGGAAGTGCAGATGTCAGATAATTATTGACGTCGACCACTTGAATCAGTCACTCGACAAAAACAGACGTCTCATTGTTTATTACATAAACACCAATATTTGCTATTTATGAAAAATATCAAGGATTAAGATATGATCAAAAACTTTTTATAGATTTACCCGGAATTTATAAGCTTCTTTAGATTGTAATCCTTTTAATTTCATAAAATAAACTTTACATTCCAACTTCTTGTTTTTCTTCGTGCTCACTTTTCTATCTCCTTGAAGCAATTTTGAAGAACATAAATCAAGGGAGGTAATAGACCTGAACGCATTTCAGGCTACAAACAGCAGTTAAATTCCGATTGAATAAACCTTAATATGGAGAATCCTGCCAAGCACTTCTTATGATTTGAGGACAATGAATATATATTCAGCAATCTAAATGTCACATTAGACATAGGTAAAAGGGAAAATAATCACACACATTACAGTAAAAAATAAATTATTTTTTTGTAACTATAATACAAATTTACAATATTAAAAGGACAGAAAATTAAGAACGATAATTGATCATTTTACTTTTAACAATTAGCATGTTTTCATTGATATGTTTTAATTCTAGTATGCATTAAGTAAATTCCCACTAAACAGTCAATAAGAATATACTTTGATTATGTTTATATTTTGTATTAGCAGGTAGCTGCTAGGAGGTTAAGTCCTTTGCTTGCTAACCTGAGGTAATATGTTGAAATGTTAAACCCAGTTTCCCTATCTGTGAAACAGATCTGAGGGACTGGGAAAATATTATATATTTGTTCAGATACAACTTTAAATCAAGGTCCAGTGTGCTAATTGGCTGTGCAAATAAAAATTCTAATTTGCATATTGAAGGCTAAATCAATAGGCTAATGTGGATGCTGATCAAAAGTTTAACCTATTGGTATGAGCCCCCCATATTTCTGTTTCATCTGGTCTGGATATTTCAGAATAAGAACCACATTAACATTTCATTTACGTGGATATAGTCTTGATATTGCTCTTTTTCAGCAATCCAAAGGGATGCAACAAAACATAGATAAAAGCTCTATTTTGATAACCTTGATGGTAATCATTTGATCCAATCCAGAGACAAAATGATTATCAATGACAGCCACAAGTGAACATAATGTATGATAACCCTGGACAGCTCACAATAATAACTCATGTGGAACATGAAGTAATGAATGGACGGCTTAATATTACTATCAAAGAAGCATCAATGCAAATGATGATTCCAATTGGTTTAAAATACATATCAATCAAAGCCAATCTTGAGTAGTAAAAAAAAAATGATGAACGGCTTCTAAAAATTTCTGGGATATAAAATGATTAAGTAGATGGCTTAAAGTAACTATCAGGTATAAATGTTGGCCACTTGGGTAGAATAACCCTGGATGACCCCCAATATTTGCTCCTGAGGTATAAAATGATTGCAACCACATGGTTTCAAACCACAATTGGGTAGTATAAATGACAATCGGACGGTTTATAACAATTCTTGGTACATAAAATTGATCTGGATAGTTAAAAATCCGCATAAATGAGTATAGTACCCCTGGATGATTATGAGAATATAAGATTACAGCTGTCACTTTGTCACTATCACTGCTGGATCTAGAGATTAAAATCATAAGACTGGAGAGTTTAAAATCACTATCATACTATAGTCACTATCTCCTCCTTTCGAATTCTTTCCTGATCCATTCCGAATCCTGATAAAACCTTGGATCTCCTAATTTCAATGCTGTCCTTTTATAATAATAATAATATAACACAGCAACTGTAAAGAAAGTATATTTTGGTATTAACTGTTGTTATATTGAAGGTAATATCAAATCTACTTTTATAATTTAGAGGATTGACTTTTCAATTATTTTTGAGATCAAACTTTCATGTTCATAGACAAAAATAAGCAGGTATACCTGTTTTTTTTTATTAATAAATCTTGTATAATGAAACATAAGAAATGAAATATAGGCACTTGAGATATTAATCTCTGAAAATGTATCCTAAGTCAATCATGCAAATATTTTTTAAATATTCATGTAAGTTTATATTTGCACATATCAAACATACTATAGAATAAAAATTTTCTTAAGCTTTCAAATTTGTCCAAGAAAAACTACAAAAAAACATTGAGACAATACAAAAAATATGTACCTGTTCGCTGAAATACATGCAGGACTAAGTAACCTGTTACATCCCAAATATATATATTAGGATCATCCCATCTCAATGTCTGAAAAAATATACAAAAAATATCAATTTAATAGTATTTCAATATTTCATTAATTTCAAAATGATATAGTTATCATCCATAGCTTCACCAGCTGATATATCCTAATTCAGCCATCTACATGTATCCTTTTTCAGAGTTAAAATCCAACACCTAATTCTCCTGCTCTAGCTTCCAGGCCATTATTTACATTCTCGGGGGGAAATATGACTAATTACCTTATGATATCAGTCATATCTAAAGTAAGAATGTTATCGGGAAGTGACATGATAGTCACACAATAGTTTTTGTGGAATCGCAAGAGAAGTAGGCATGTTTTGTTTTTTTCAGCAAAATGCTATGGATAACTTAAAATGAACCATATTAGCTTTTACCAAATATCTAGAGGAACATATCCCTTTCATATGAACATTTTTTTTTAAATTAAATCATCAACTGTCAAATTCAGAGAAATGATAGTGTATTACTGAATAATAGATATATATATTATACACGACATCCTGGCTTATTTATAAATCTAATAATCAGAATTTTGGTTAATAAATAAAAGTTGCATGCCACATTTTTCACAGCGATAAGTGTTGCGTAAATTTAGAAAATTGATGTTACTTACCATTCCCCAAACATGAAGAGCAACACACAAGATAAAATATATAAATGTTACTGAGATAGCCACTCTAAATTTATTTACTAGTATATTTACTAAACCAGCTTGGAAGATGAAGGTATTAAAAAATAATAAAAACACAACTATTACAGCAAACACAATGCAGACATCCTGAATACTGAAAAATAAGAATAATGTCCATCAAACTTTTTAACAGAAAGCAAAAAATGCTACTTACCATAGTTTAAATTTTTTTACCAATGATACCATACATGGTAATTGAAATAAACAAAATTTGACAAAGTGGGTTGGTGCTTTTAGTCGTAAATTTCGAAAAAGTCGATTTCTGAAAATAGTAGTCTAATGCAGGGCTATGAATATTGAACAATCAGATAATGTTTTGATTGAAATACAATGGCATTGTTTTGTTTTATACAAGAAGTCTCAGATCCTACTTCATGTCTAGGTCCAAGAATTGATTGTAGTAAATCAAAAAAGAGATTATTTGGGAAAGTATGTAATATAAGTTTACTTACACATAAAGCACTAACAAGATGACATTTTCAAACCTCAACATTTCATTGAAGGAGTTGAAAACTAAATCTAAAACCAGTAAAAAATACTGAAGATACAGAATTGGTTGATAGCGACTAACCAACATCTTGGAAGCTTAAAATGTCCTATCTCTAACAAACTAAAATCATAATGGACTCCTTAAAATCAGTAGTGCACCTCTTATATTTCCATAATTAAAAAGAGCCTGAAATTAAGAGATTTAAAAATATATTAGATCTAGCTATCATATTGACTTATCTTAAGTAGTACTGTAGAACTATTAGGTAGTGGTAGATATTGCTCTACATTGTGAATTAATTTTTGTCTGTTTGGTCTATGGCTAAAACCATTGTCCTTTTGCATTTGGGATTGGGATAACGTTAAAAACTCTAAGGCTTAATGTCTTTTGCCTTTAGTTTTGCCTTAGGCTAGATGTCCTCCAAGTATGTAGCCTATCTAATCAATCAATCAATTAATCATCAGAAGACCTAGGTCTAGTATCAGTTAGTGTAGGCTAGTCTAATAAACAATATGCCGATACTGCAGTAGTCAATAGGACCTACAATAACTCTAGGATTCAATGAAAATAAAGACTTAGTTCTTGGTATGTTATTGTCTAACCCTCCAAGTTTCTTTGTATCTATCTAAGCCAAATCTACTATAACTCTAGGCCTACTATTCTTGTTGGATAACTTACTTCTCTTACTAAGCTTACTATTTTTGTTTACATTTATTTACTTATTTCATTCATTCACACCATATACCTATAAAAGGATTTGGGATGATATTGTATCTCTAACTGAATATTTTCAAATATCACCGTTCAATTCTGATGATAGAATATTGAGAAACATAGATTTTTCGTAAAATAACTTACAGAAATATTCATGCAGGTTCATGTTTCTCTTCCATCTTGTTTGTTTTCACAACAAATTCTCGCATATTCTCAGTAAATCACGTTTCTTGGATTTGCCAATTTAACCCATTTATTATAACAAATAATCAGTAACATGCATGTAAAGTTTGAAAATGTGAATATGTTTATTTGAATTTGACTGTTTTAATTAAGTTTCTGCGGTTCAAGGATCATCTGACGTAAAATCAATCAATTTTCAATGGCATCACGTGACCTTATGTGAGAAACATGGCTGCTTCCCGCGGGAAAGAGAAAGTCATTTTCAATTAAAAATCAAACGAATTTTCCAAATTGACAGTAAATTAATTGCCTTGCATTTCCTTTTTTCTGACACGCATTTAATTGAAGAAGGTACCCAACTCTAAAAAATTATAGCTATAGGAAGAATGGCAGCACATTTAATCATTTCCTAACTGAACAATTGTGATAAAGTGAAAGTAGACAGGTCGAATTTTCAATATTTACAGAAAATAGACATGAATGGTGGACAGTTAAAGCTTTCTGTTCCATTCTAACACTATTTCACTAGTCGTTTCATTGTCAATAGTCTGTTTCATATTATGATGTGCACAATTTGACAATGAATATATTTTCTTGTAGCAGAACTTCAGAAGTCTAGACTTCAAACTCTTTCTTTCCTCTCTCAGTCTCTGACATCTTTATTTTGACTCACTAATTCTAGGTCTTATTTGTTTTGCCTATCACTGCATATTGTACTTTCCTGCCAGAGTCTGCAGGTTATAGTCATATTCACATGAATTAAAATATCAGATTCAGTCAAAAGTGGATAAGTTACAGAAGAAACTGTTTTTACAGAATTGTAACCCTAGTCTAGATGTGACATGTTAAAGTTTTATTAGATATAGAAATCTAGATCATGAAATTCAATTGAGGGAACGTGTCTGTTGAATGTTGAATGTGTCTGATTCCAAATAGCCTAATTTTGTTTGAGAAATTTCTACCCTTGGAAATTTATTTAACCTAGTGCACTTCAGACAATCATCTTATTTTAGATCTTTAAGTATTGTTTACATTTCAGGTAAAATGAGTGAGTTTAAAGTACATCACCATGTCAGTGAGCTGATGAACTTATTGGGGTAGGTAATCAGTAAATTGTTATGCCCCAGAATAACACATTTTATCAAGACATAAAACTTTTATTCACTATCCTTATTTTAGAATTAATTCACACCATTTGTAATGTGTTCAGGACTTAAGATTTAGGGTTGAAATAATTAGGTATGAAATAAACCAGAGGTAGAAAAATGTGTTGCCCATCATATGTTACTTAAATCTTGTATGAATTTCAATCTGAATATGGAGTATTGTGTACAGGTACTATTACTGGGAATTTGAGGATATTAATAACAATATTTTTTTCGTTGACAGTGTTCGTTCAACAGATACAATAGGAGCTGAAGATTATACAGAAATGTTATTAAAGAATACAACACCATATGTCACTACACAAGTAGGTTAACTCTCCAATATTATGCCTGTGACAAATTGAGATCACTTTTGATTATTCTACAGAATTTTAGTGTCATCAATCCATATTTTCTTCATGGATATTCATGGTGTTTCTTCTTCTTTTCATTCAACAGTTTTATGGAATTAAATAATCATTACCGCTATACTATACTATGTACTTGTTTTGTGTAATTTAGGTATCTGCTCATCAAGCTAAAAGAAAGATTGCAGAATCGTCCAAAACACCAATAGAATTTCTGGCAAAATATGATGAACTGAAAGGCAAGAAGTAAGCTAAAGCCCTAATCTTTTAAGTAAAAATATACCCTGAAAATGATTGTTTATGTGGGGTTTCGTTCTGTGAATTTACAACTTCTGGCCAAGAACACTCAGATGGTTTTAAAACATCAGTAAGCTGTATGCTACAGGCTGTGTATGTTAAAAATCCTTTGACAGTTGAAAATAGAAAAAGATTAGGCTAATGCAGCTGTCCTAGCAAAATTTCCTCATTGCACACTGCATGGCATTTCCTATCTTCATAAGCCAAAGAAAGGTAGAGAGGGAAGGACATAAAACTCCACCAAGTATTTTACTTTTCTTCTTTGTATTTCTTTTATAGTGTTCGTGACTTGGATTCTTTGGTATTTTTACTGTCAAAATTAGTGGATGAACCAAAGGTATCTTTATTTATTTTATTCTTTGATGGATGAAACATTGAAAATTTTATAATCAATTCTAACCAATATCTATAAGCATCTGAATAAGTATCTACTGCCTTAGCACATTTGTTTGTAAATTTGATACAAATTTTTGTAGGTTTACATTGAATAGAAACATTTCCTACTCTGAAAATTTGGCTGATAGGTGAAAATGAAAATTATTTCCACACAAAGTAGTTTTAAGACTAACAAATTCTAATTTTAGACAAAAGAATTTCTAGAAAAGAATGCTAGAGATAGAGCAAAGGAAGCAGGATTGACCTTGACCTCTCATGATAAGATAACTGGTCAGTTACCATCACCTGGTACCAAGATGACACCACAAGAAGTATCAGAGGTATGAATATATTCATTTGATGGTACATGTAATTTATTTTGTCTAATCGTTTGGAAGAAGTAGACAGCTTATCCTGCCAGCTTTTCTTTATGACACAATGTAGGTCACCTAAAGCAGCACCACCATATTGAATATTGAGAAACCCCTATGACATCATGACTTTTTATGTTACCAATCGACCAATGAAATACCGCCTCACTCAGAGAATTACAGGCCTATTAGACATGTACTAAGTAGTCCTTTAATTTAGGGAAGTATTTTGAAATGTAACCAAAAATGATGAAGTATTTTATTGGAATATCATCACTTAATATGTCAGATGAATTACCAGTATTACATTTTAGATTAAAGATATATTAATGAAAGAAGCTCATTCCTTACCAGCAGCTACATCTTCAGAGTTTCTACGTAAAGCTTTGAGAGAAAAACAGTTGAAACGAAATGGTAAGAAAACGAATACCATATTTTAGGGTCAGGTCACTTAGCTTGTTTTTTAAACCTCTATTTTGAAGAAAGTGTTTATCATTAAATTGATATGAGTGAGGCCATGTATATTGACACTTAAAAAATACCTGAGGCTTTTTTCTTGAAAATATAATTTAAGATGATTTTAGTGCTCCAGTCATTAGAATATCATTAATGTCTTTGAGGTCATATTGGGTTAAAGCTTTTAATTAAAATAAGCAATAATGATGTTATATCAATTGTTACAGTCAATATACCAATGCAACCAGAATGGTTATTTCAAAGACCAGCTTTAACATTAGATTTTATGGTAGGAGTTGATGGCCCAACAGACCAGGTAATGAGTTTTTCTAATAAATGGTGGGTGCTCAGGTCAACCTTTGGACTGGCAGCATATTGGAGTGACTTGATTTTCAACACCTAGAAACTAGTGACATTTTTATTATTTTTATTATTTCAGAATATAGTACCATTAGGTACATTAACATTATTTCAACAAGAACATGCTATTATAGATGATATACTATGTTGTATGCAGGTAAGTTAGGAATTGTAATATTATTGACTATTGTTTTTTTATGTGTATCAGAGACACTGAGAGTATCAATTTGCACCATTCCAATTTTTAATCAGACGTCAGTAGTTCCTGAGATTCCAGTGTTTTATTATGTAACTTATTGTAAAATATGCTTTATCACATAAGGCCCTTCGCAATTAATGACGTCAAAAACTTACTTTTAGTGGAATTGCAGGAACACACATGTCAGATTGAAAATTGGAATAGTGCAAATTGATGCCATCAGTGTCCCCGATACAAAAAAGAAACTTTAGAAAACATCTTTACAATCCCTTTAAATTGATTTGTTTTACTAAATAAGTCTTATGTGTCCTTATTATTTTACCATTTGTTTACCTAGAAACAAAATAGAATGCTGTTGGTTATGTTTTTGTCGATAATTGTGTTTTAATATCAGATATCAATTATGTGTTATATTATTATTATATTTGTAGGGAATTGAAGGGAAATATATATTAGCCAGGGCATTAACAGAAAGATATGCCTCTAAAGAATTTATGATTGATCAGAGTTTAGGTAAGAATTGTCAAATACAGACTTACTCTTGCCCTGTTCCTTCCTCTTCCTTTGTGCTTCTCCAGCCTGGTTTACTCTAAAATTGTAATATCCATTTTTGAGGAATATGTCCCTATTTACATGTACATCATTATTATTTATGATGAAATTTTACTATAAGATTTCTGTGCAAAAATTTACTCCATAGTATAAGAAATAGGTTGTTTATTTGATTCAAGAAATTTATTTGTAATCTGTCTTATGATTTGTTATGTCTTGTAGATCCATCTTTACAAGAATTAGTTAAAAGAATATTACCTTTGTGTTCTAATTATTCTACTGTAGTTAGATTTATTGAAGGTAGGTATTTCATTGAATAGACTGAACAAAGCAATTTATGCAACTATGTTGTTAGATTTAAATATAGTAATGGTGATCAAATTTGCTGTCCTATTTCTTGAAGTGTTTTGCCTAGTTGTCAATTGTTAGCTTTGTCAGCTTAATCATCTTAATTCTGACTGCAAATATGACTTAACCATTCACCTTTAACCTTTGACAAGGAAAGTACCAGGTAGCTGAGATAAAATTTTACTGCCTTGTTAAAGATGGGTTTCCATATTTTTTAGTGTCAAATTAAGCAAACTATATGATTAATTGGTGTTACTAATGAATTATCATGTATTCTTAATCATATCATCATATTCTTATTGCATATAATTAAGAGTTTTAGCCAATAGTAAATGTCCATGTAAGTACAGTCTGGATAAACAAAAAAAAGACTTTTTGACCTTTCTTGATCAGTCACTCAATAAAATTCTGCTGGTAATTATCTTCTAGTTTAGCTAATTATGAATTTATTATGAACATGTGAGACAAACTGGTATTTTTCCAAGTCATTAGAAACACCTCTACTTTCTATTCATATGAGAAGTAGCATTTGTATTATCATAAATGAAAATAAGGGAACGCATCTTTAAGTAAATGTAAACTACTCTAAAGATGAATTGTTATTAGTTTATCAATTGAATAGTTCTTCAATTTTTTCCAGAAAAGTCAGCATTTGAATATGGATTAGTTAACCATGCTTTATCCGCTGCTATGAGATCATTGATCAAGGTAAATATTTTATACAATTTTATACTCTTTTCTTTATATTTTGTTATCACAGTAGGCATGAAGTTGTACCATTCTCAGTCAATAACCTTAAGAAAAAAAAAGAGAGAAAAGAATTTATCAGAAACCAAAAAATAATATGTGCTCCTCTTATTAATTTGAATTTAAGACTTTATAAAGTTAGATGGTTGGAGAACATGAAGGGTAAAGTTGGTTGTTGAAGCGTAAAGTCTCTTTGTTTTTTACAGGATTATATGGTTTTAGTGGCTCAACTTGAACACCAATATAGAACTGTATGTACACTTTATTATACTGCCGTATATGTTTACAAGTTTTATAAATATGTGTGTAAATTCATACATGTATGGTCATGCATAATGGTTTTATTGTTTTGTATGAATTTGACCATATTTCAACACATTAACAGCTTATTATCATCTTTGACTTTCAGAATCTGTTTTGTCAAGAAGAACGCGATCACAAGCCTGTTGTTTTTTCACGGAAGGCTGCTCTTAAATGCATACTTGATAGATGATAGTAACAATGACAAGAAGATTGCTTGATGATATAACGAAACCATAACTTTTTAGGAACGGATGCTAAATCCTCTTGAATGAATGGATTATTTTATGATTTTTTGTAAGTTTGAAATAAACATACTTTCTATATCTGTGTGTTTTCCAGGGAAATCTAACTTTACAGAAGATATGGTTTTATTTACAACCTACTATGAGAACCTTAGAAATATTGTCATCAGTTTCTAATAGCGTCAATAGAGTGAGTATATCTGTTGGAGTATTATGGGATATCAGGAGCAAGATGGTGGAAGATTCTGAATGCTAACAAAGATGGTCCAATTTTTGATTGAAAATACAACATAAGCAGCCTTAGTTAATAGTGGCATTTTCAGTTATTGGTGTGATGTGTTAAAAATACAAAATAAATCAAGTAATCAATCTCCCATTTAGCAACAATTTTTAGCAATCTTCAAATGAAAGAAATGAAACTTTGACTGTTTCTCAATTTAAAGCTAATTTTAAGGTAGCCTATGCATGTTATTAATATTTTTTGTATATATTTTTCAGGGAGAATGTATTGGGGGAGCTGTATTAAGTTTATTACATGAAAAAACTTGTAGTTTAATAGGGTAACTATTGATCATCAAATTTTTAAACTAACAATGAATGTTGAGCAGTGTTTGTTGATTGCAGCAATTGAACTATTATACTTATAGAAAATTTGGGAATACAGTAATCTTTTATTTGTTGTGAATCTTAAAGAATATCTTACAGAGAAAGAATCATTACTCCAGTGAGATAAAGATATATCTATTTATTTCAGTGATGTTAAAAGTCAAGAGCTATGTTTATATCTAACTCAATCTGTAAGTAGTAGTAACATTTGCCACAGTTTACCACTTCTCATTTTAGTGGAACTCAAATGCCATAAAGTTTTATGTGGATTTAAGTCAAGAGGATGAAATGACAACTGAGATAGTGTAAGCCACCAATGCCAAACACAAGATTGACATCAGATATACTTGATATTAGTGCTTTAATATAACGCAAATAATTTTAGTTCTATGAATATTATTTGAAATACAGGAAAATAAAGTTGTCTTACCGTAGAAATCCCTTTACACACTGTAATAAAATATGTTTAAACTAAACTTTAGTAAACTTTTTTTAGGCATGTGTTCCATATTTTGAAATATTAGAAAAATGGATTTATAAAGGAATTATCAGAGATCCGTATTCAGAGGTATGTACATTCCCTTTGATTATCTCTTGTTTTAGATTCTCTATAATGTTCGTACATGTGTCCTGCTGAGAGGAGGCACATTGTCTTCTTTCTTGCTGATTGGGCTGATGGAAACGGGTAAGGAAATTCAGTGTGTAGTTTAGAAATTTTATTAGCAGTATTTTCCTCCTTTTTTTTATTCCAACTGTCAAAAAAATCTTTGATGTGAACAGCCAGAAACCCCTAGGGCACAGGTTTAATGACACATCCACATTTTCCCCTGTCAAACCCTTTGACCTATTGCTATCTTTTGCAGTTTTTGGTAGAAGAAAATGAGACTATACAGAAAGAAAAATTACAAGAAGATTACAATGATGCATATCCTTTAACATTAATTCAGATGTTTTCATTTTCTGCTGATTGAAAACACATAACAAAACATTGTGTGTTTTATTAGCATGTGTGATGAATTCACATATATGTGTGCTATAGCTTTTAAATGGCCTGCCAGTTATCAGTTTTGTTAAAAACAGCTTTGTAGTTTGATGGAACCACAGACGTGACTTAAATGCTGTGGGGGCATTATGATGGTATGATTGAAGTAAAATAATAACCATATATCCGATTATACCTGGGTTTTGCTCATCCATTTGATATTTCAAAATATCAGAGGCTGGAATAGAGGCAGATGTTTAGGTCTGTATGCCTAGCTGCTTGTGACATATTGAAAACCCATGAGTACTGATCGCCCATTACTTTACCTTGGTATAACTATTACTTTACCATGGTATTACTATTACTTTACCATGGTATTACTATTACTTTACCATGGTATTACTATTACTTTACCATGGTATTACTATTACTTTACCATGATATTACTATTACTTTACCATGGTATTACTATTACTTTACCATGGTATTACTATTACTTTACCATGGTATTACTATTACTTTACCATGATATTACTATTACTTTACCTTGGTATTACTATTACTTTACCATGGTATTACTATTACTTTACCATGGTATTACTATTACTTTACCATGATATTACTATTACTTTACCTTGGTATAACTATTAGTTTACCATGGTATTACTTTACCATGGTATTACTATTACTTTACCATGGTATTACTATTACTTTACCATGGTATTACTATTACTTTACCATGGTATTACTATTACTTTACCATGGTATTACTATTACTTTACCCTGGTATTACTATTACTTGACCATGCACAAAAAGATTTCAAGACCATTTTGATGTAATTTAGGTTTTTGTATGTATTGTAACTGTTATCTTTAACTGATTGTTACCTATTGGGAACAGCACTATACAATATGTCGTGAGAGAATACCAGTATTTCTAGAAATAATGGCTGATAAAATATTAAATACAGGAAAATATCTTAATGTTGTAAGGCTGTGTGGTAAGTTGTTCGAAAGTAATCAAGTGCAACTTCTCTTGACTCAAACGAGTGGCAGTAACAACTAGATGGACTTTGTACCCATTCATTTATCTATAAATTACAAGGTTTTTCTCTGCTTTGTGGGGTATTACCTCTTCAACAATTTTATTGGGATGAAATGCTGAAATTTGGTCTATTGAAATACTTTGGAAGTTCGAAAGGAAACACACTGTGGATATCTCATGTCTTACAACAATTCAGACCGAATTTCCATCAGAAAAATTGACTACAATGCCATATTCCTAGGTGTGTAAAATGTCCCCCTGCCAGTGAAGTACATCAAAAGAATAGAAAAATTCATCTGAAATCCCCAAAAATGAATTAGTATTACTCTTTGTTCGTATTTTCTAGGTCGTGATGTAAAATGTCCCCATGCTGGTGAAGTACTATATACATTGAAAGATAAGAAATATTTTGAACAGATAGAGAAAGCCTATAACTATGCTAGTAGATTGTTATTAGATTTATTGATAGAAGAGAAGGAATTGATAGCTAGATTAAGGTATATTGTTCTCTTATTTTACTTTCTTACATGGAGAGCAATGGTGGTGTCTGTCAACACTATTATGTAGAGGAAACAAATTGAGGCTTTACAGGCTGAGCAAGAAAAATGATTAATTTACATGTACAATTTGCAATTTTGAATATAATGATACGCTTTCTTGGCAATATATTTATTATTTCTTACTGGATGGCAATTCCTGTCATGTAACCAATCAGCAGCAGAAAATTATCTATGATAATGCAGTTCTGAATACCATTGTATATTATATATTTTTCAGGTCTATCAAACATTATTTCCTATTAGATAAAGGTGATTTTGTGGTACAGTTTATGGATATGACCGATGATGAAATGAAAAAAGACATTGACAATATCCTTTTTTGGGCTTTTTGGTGTCATACTTGATTGTTTGGGGTGTACTTTTCCATAATTTTGGTTGATAATTTTATTGAACCTTTTTTTCTTCCTTAACTAGTATCACATATAATGCCTACTAGATTAGAAACATTATTAGAACTAGCTCTACGTACCAGTACAGCTAATGTTGATCCTTATAAAGATGATCTCAAGTAAGTTGGACTGCCTATTGTGAAATGAGCTTTATAAATCCTGTAGTGACACCAGTAATTGTGCTACACAATGGACTTTTTGTGAGCCAATCACAGATTTTAAATATCTGGAAGGTCTGGTAAAGATTTATCTTGATCTTGAAAGGTGAACTAGTCAGTAAATAGGACAAGCACTTGATGTAGAAGGGCTTTTCACTTACTCCAAATAACCAAGCTACATGAGGGTGGCATTCGATTGCATTGAACTGAACATGTTCTGTCAGTCCAATGGTACAAAACTGGATATGTCACATTGAAAATGGAGGTTGATGTAAGAACTCTTATAGCATTAGATTGCCATTCCTTTCTCTGTCATGTTGTTTCTGTTACACCTAGTTTTTGGTACTCATGGAACACCAGATGTATCTGAGTAACTTTGTAGATTGTGGTCCAATTAGACAAAGATTTTTGACCAGTCATGTAACTTTGAAACTGTGTTTTTCATTATAGAGTAGAATTGTTACCATTTGATTTAATAACTCAGTTGTTTAAGATATTAACCATTGATACTAAGATGGAAAAAGGTAAGCTTGAAAAAAACATGTTTCACAAAATCAACCAACATTTTGAGCTCTGAAGATTTATAAGCCGTTAAAATGAATCCACCACTTAAAACTTGCTACCTTGGCTACAGTTTGTGTAAACATTTAGAGATACCTTTGAATGTGGGGTATAGGTCAGAAATCCATAAGAACTTCATATCCGTGTGCAAAAAATCTTCATTCATTTATTATTTGATGTCAAAATTTTTATATCTTCAGAAGAGTTAATATCAATGATAAATGTAGGAGGTAACATGGTTTTTATGATTGATTTTTTAGCTTAGGGTTTTTCTTTTCATTTTATTTAGTGACATTATTGACTCAATTAGTTTTAACATTAGTTTTATTAGATATTATAAGACTTATTGTTTCATTTTCTTATTGTGTTCTATAGAAGTTATAAATCCATTCAAATTTATTCCTTAAAGGAATACTATCTCTTAGAATGGAGATCAAATTTAAAGTCTCAAAATTGGTCAATAAAAGTATATATCCTTACCAGGTGCCATGACTGAAGAATAGAATCTCTATATAACACAAAACATATCCTCTATGCTCCTAATGGTGTTTAATGAATTAATACTTAGTTTTATTAGATTATAGAGGGATTATGATGTATAGTTATGACACCAGGCAAGTAGACTGATGAACAAAAACTCATTTCAACCAAGTGTAAAAATTTCAATTTTTTGGTCATCCTAAGAGGTAGCATATCTTTAATGCCCTAGTTTAATTTACCTGTTATGGTACTGGGCTCCTATTTGGGCTCCATTTAGAAGAGAACTGAATTTTATTTTGTTCTTTGAGTTAACCAAAGTTTGGAGTTTATTTTTTACTTGTTTTTTTAGTTCATTTCCTTTCACTTTAATAGCTAAACCAGATTAGTTACCAGTACTTTTTTCAGTATATATCTAGGCTTTGATTGCTATATGTATAGAATGCGCTTTATCACTTAATGTCATTTCAGATTACAGAATAGATCCTACAGACCTACATTTATCTGGGCTAGAATCATTTAGTTTTGATTATTTAGTCAAGTGGCCATTGTCTCTTATCTTGAATAGAAAGGTAAATAGATTTAACAAATATTGATTCCTAAAGAAAAAAAACATCTTTATTTAAAAACTATCAACTATGATTCAATTGATATATTCTGTCAGAATGAAATTGGAATAATCAAAAAGAATGCAAGAAGTTTAAGAATGCTTCTAGAATATTCATCAATATTTACAATTTTCTTGTTAAGCTATGGATCATAGATGCTAGAATATTCTGTGTAAGAAAAATAGTTATTCACGTTTCCATGACTTTTGGGATTCATATCACAATATTGAATTTATGATAAGACATTATTTCTTTATTTCAGGCATTAACAAGATATCAGATGTTATTTAGACATTTGTTTTATTGTAAACATGTAGAACGACAACTTTGTAGGTAAGAGTAGAACCAATTCCCTTCTTCTCACACAGTTTCAGCATGTCAGTGGGTTGAAAAAAACATCTTATCATTCAGATGTGCATGTTAAAAAAATTTCATATCACTGCTTTACTTTGAAAAAAACATTAGCCAAATATGTGCAAAATTATATTATCTTTAACTTTGGCATCTTCTGTTAAATGTAAAGCACAGATCCAAAATGAAGATTGGTTTAACCATTTGTCTGTGTTTTCAGTGTATGGATAGGATACAAATCAGCTAAAATGTACACACTTCAATCTGCTAGATGGTATTCATCAGGATTTGCTCTACGCCAACGCATGCTGAATTTTGTCCAGAATTTTGAATACTACATGATGTTTGAAGTTATAGAACCTAATTGGCATGTCTTCATGGGAAATATGGAAACAGTAAGTTTATCTGTTTTCTTATTTTCTATACTTCATCAATTTACGTGCTCCTGAATATATTTTTAATGAGTTAAATGTGAACTGTACATTGTTTTATTGTATTGTAGGTCTCTAATGTTGATGATGTATTAAATTATCATACAGATTTCCTCAATAATTGTTTAAAAGACTGTATGTTAACTAATCCTGACTTGTTAAAAATAGTTCATAAATTAATGATGGTTTGTGTCTCATTCTCCAACTATCTTCAGGTATGTTCACATTTACTACCATATGTATCAATATTTACCTGTATTATACCATTCTAAATAAATGACATCAAAATTAAATAAAATGGTCTTTCATGCTGTATTTGGCCACATAAAAGAAAAAAAAACAATCTTGAGATAATTCTAATTTTGTGACCACCAAGTGTTAAGCCAAGCAAATAAATATTTAAAAAATGTTCATTAAAGGCAGGTATGATTTCTGTGCTGAATCTAACAATCTGTCATTTAAGATAATCCAATGTGTATGATTATTAATCTGTCATTTAAGATAATCCAATGTGTATGATTATTATACAAATCGTGCCTGTATTTAAGAAAAAATGATAAATATTTTTCTGCTGTGCTACACAGACATACTGTGATATAATGACAAAAGTTTGATGCTGAATTAGACCATGTAACAATAAATCTATGCAGTGTTTATGATTATATTTTTGTAGAGATTAAATGAAAGTACATCAGTAGAATTAGAAGTCAATAAATTAACATCACAGAATACATTACAAGCTGCTGCTTCAGCTAAAGACAGAAAAGCTGATACAGAGAAAATTAAATTGACTACTAAGGTTATAATTTTTTTTTTTTTTTCATCTTTGAATTCACTGACTGACATACAGAGCAGCTTGGATTAGTCATGAACTGTTAACCTGGGGGGACAGCTTGGATTAGTCATGAAATGTTAAACAGGAAAGAAAGCTTTAATAACTCATGAACAGCCGACCTGCTTGGGATTAGTATTTAACTTTCAACCCGGAGAGTGGCTTAGGATTAGTCATGAACTGTCAACCTGTAGAGATAGTTTGGATTAGTCATGAACTGTCAACCTGTAGAGATAGTTTGGCCTTGTCGTGAACTTTCAACCTGTGGAGATAGCTCGTATTAGTCATGAAATGTCAACCTGTAGAGATAGCTTGGGATGAGTCATGAAATGTCAACCTGCAAGGATAATTTGGGATAAACTGTCATCTTGGAATTAGTCATAAACTGTCAGCTTGGGATTAGTCATGAACTGTCAGCTTGGGATTAGTCATGAACTTTTGGGTTTAGATATACTGTATGACCTGTCATCTTGATGGATTAACATGGAATATGTCATATATGACATACATGCTTTTTCATGAGCTATAAATTTCAAATGGACATAATAGCATAACATATAACTGGAACGTGAATTATATATTTATATTATCTTATATATAAGCTTATGATTTGATTCATAAACTCAATTTATAGTTCTATAATCAAAATCCATCATCCATTACAAAGTCAAGAAGGCCAACATTAAATTCTATGATATTTACATAAGGAAAGACTTGTCTACCATTATCGAGTGATTCTTTACTTTTTATAATGCCTTCTTTTACTTCAGTTGTTTTGTCGATATTGTGACATCAATTTTGCTTTCTCTATCAATATCAGTAATGTCATGACAATGATATATATATTTCAAAATTAACCCAGAATAATTGGTGCACAAGGCTTTAAGGCCTCAGGTTCTGTAGGTGGACTAAGGGCATCAGAGATCCTAACCTTGAAAGAAATTAGAGCTCCAAGCAACTAGACAAAACTTAGCAAACAATAACATTCAGTTTATTTGAATGTTTCAGGTTGTATCAGAGCATATAGACCAAGTTGTAGCCAGTGAGAATTTTGAGAGAACTATAGCTAATTTTGATAGTAATTTTAGTAAATTATTGTTAGAATTATTAGATAAAATAATGGATTTTAGTAGTACTAATTATGGTCACAAACTCTTCAACATTCTCTACAGGTAACTATTAGAAACACTTTTGTCATGGCAATCCCTGATAAAAACCAATTATAAAAAGTGGAATAAATCACATGGAAAATTTAACATCATCAGCCACAAGTTTTTGTTTAAAAGCTTCATTGTCTTAAGTATTATTTTAAATATAAACATATATAGATATGTTAATTATTATCAATTGTAGATTAGATTTTAATGGATTCTATACTGAGAAATTAGAAGCTGTATCTGGTGAGAAAGAGAAATCTAAATTTGATACATCAGTTAGTTCTGATAGTAGTAAGTATAATAGTTGAATAAAGATAATATAATTGCTTATCGACTTAATACTAGAGTTTTAATATCACATTGCTATTAAATTCTAGCTACAGAATAGTACAAAAGACATAAACTGTCATTCTGATGACAACATGGGAAACACATTGCAAAAACGCTTAAAACTTAAAGGGATAGATGTGCCATTTTGAGGATTTGATTTATGTCTTGAATATATTTAAACAAGTGTAGTCATCAGAAATACTAGAAATGTAAGAAAATTATATAATTTCTGTAGAAATATCTCAAACTTGGAATTTCTTTTCCTTTTTCTGTATATGACAGTTTCTCAAGAAAAGACAATTCGTCTTTTTAACTTTCAAATACGGTTCATTCTGGACCTACATGAAAAATTCCTGTTGCTGAGGCTAAGATACAATTTGTAAAAAAATGGCACATCTGTCACTTTAAATTCTATAAATTTGTGTCTATATATAGTGTCTTTGTGGGTTTATGTGAGATTAAAACATATGAAGGGAAAATTTTTGGTATTGATTTTGCACACGGATTTCTCAAATATAACTGCAAGCTCTTTCATGTCTAATATTTGGCAGGGCTTATCAACAAACGACATTCATTTGAGGCAGTGATGACAAACTGACAAGCAATTTATTTCTTATGTGGATTTCTTTTCAGTTTTGTTATAAAATTGGTAAGGTATAACATGCATGTTATATTATTATTGCATGAATTGAATAAAGAAATGTTAGAAAATTTGTAACTGAAAAGGTGGTTGATTATTAAATAATTAGATTGCTTTACATAATTATTGCTAACCAATATAAGACCATGCATTAAACTATAATCCAAGATTGGTACTCTAATAAGTGATACAGATAGCTGAAGTTTAGTTTAATATTTTATGACGATATATTGCACTTTGGGAATTCAGGTTTTATTTTGCCTTAAGTTTTGAGCAGTAAGGGATGGATGTACCTGTTAAGTTGAATGGTTGAATGACTGTAATATGATGACTTTCCACTTTTGCTTTCCACTTTTGCTCTTACTTGGTGAAATATTTCCTGCAGAATTTTTATCACATACATGTTGACCATTGTTGCATGACTTTAAATTTCTTTCAAACCCTTAGGAATGTTACATTTATGAATGATCTACCAACTAATACAAACACGAAAGATTCATCCCTAGAACTTTTTTAATCGCCTGATTATTGCACCTTGATAATTTTGTTCAATGCATTATTTGTGTTTATAGATCTATTGGGATTTATTTGTTTGTGTGTGTGTGAGCACATAATGTTAATATGTTCAATATTCTTTTTTAAACAAAAAGAGACTTAATGCACATGGCACTTTTTGTAAATATATTTAAGTACTCTTTGATATGCATTATAACATCATTGGCCCAATCAGTATGAAGTAAAACTCTATTTCATTTCATTTCATTTGAACTAAATTGCTATTGAACAATACATTTTGGCTGTATTTATAATTTGATATTAAAAAAGTCAATAATTGAGGAAAGAATACCAACATATGATAAAATTTTGTAGCATGAGTTAAAATGAAATTATAACACCCTTAATTCATTTCTATTTGTAGGTTCGTCATCATCTCAACCTAGATCATTCACCACTGAAAGACCAGACAATGTTCGTTATGTACCAGGTGTTCATGTTACATCTCACAACAATGGTCAACCCTAGTGCTAATATTAATCAGTTATATGAATTATTCATTAATTAATTCATAATTATTCATGGAATTTTGTTATAATGAACTTTTACTGTGATATTTTAACAATCAAGATCTGACTAATTAGAGAGATATGAATTTATAGATCTTAATTTCAATTTAACCCAATTTCTGTGACAGACACTATTTAAAGGGACAGAGGTGCCATTTTGGGGGGGGGGGGGGGGGTATTTTAGTCTTGAATATATGTAAATAATCTTCAGAAGTACTAGATATGTACGAAAATCCCATAATTCCTTTAAAAATACTTCCAACTAGGAATTTTACTCACTATTTCTATATGTGTCTCTTCTATATATCTAGAGTATCTTAAATTGTAACATTCAAACGCAGATAATTCTGGACATACATTGATTTGAAAGCTTAAATTTTGATGGTGAGCTGTGAACACTTTTACTGATTAGTTCAGCTAAAAAAAAATCCAGTTTCTGAAGTATGATTGGTCAAAAAAATGGCCTACCTGTCCCTTTAACAGTGCTATTAGTAAAAAATGTGTTATTGTTGCAATTGCATTCTAGCCAATGCTATAGTTGAACAATGAAATTTATGCAAATCTGGATGAGCGCAAATGTCTTTGATCGACTTCAGAGATTGTTTTGGTGATTATTTTAGGAGAGGCCATCTTAAGCAAGGTCCGATAGTGGGCACATAAATGGTTTAGTTTGCTGATTATGTCACCATCTAGAGCCTTGCCAAGAGTTTCACCGACTGACTGTGGGCACATGAGACAAAATATCTCTGGCCAGTCGTTTTCCATTACCGGTATGTCAATAATCACATGAGGATTTGATGATGACGCTCTTGTTTTGCAGACAATATAACAATCGGCATCAAATATCAAACTTGTATGATATTATAAATCACAACCCAATAATCTTATCTTGGAAGTGCAGGCATCAAGATTCGAGTCAGCAACAAAAATTGCAACCAAGACTATTCGTGTGCCTGAACCCATGAAAGAAAGATGAAACAAAACAACCAAGAAAAAAAAAATGTATAAAATTTTGAAAAATAAAAATTTTTTGTTACATAAGTCTTTTAACCATTCACCCATTTATTTATTTGTTTGATCTTGTTACATTTTGCTAACATTGGACAGATTTGCTGCAGCTGCACTATCTAACATCCAAATTAACTCCCCTTTAGTCGGGTTAACTCTGGAGGCAGGAAGAAGGGGTTCTTCTCTTATTTCTAAAACTTTCTTCAGAATATCAGCTTTGGCTGCTCCACAGGAAGCAAATACAGCACATCGACAACGATTGATGACTGGGAAAGTCAGTGTCACCCGGCTTGGTGGGGGTTTTGGAGAATCAGATATAGGTGCTACAACCTTGGTTGTTTCATCTAACAATGGATGTCCTGGAAATAATGAACACACATGACCATCTGGACCCATTCCAAGCACTAAGACATCAAATTCAGGAACACCATTGGTTTCAAATTCCTTGGAAATCTTTTGAGCATAATCTGTAGCACTCTCAGAAACTGACAACTCTGGGTTGATAGGGAAGATGTTTTCTTTAGGAAAGTTAATTTTTGAGGTTAAATTTTTCTCATAAATGCTGTAGGTACATTCTGGATTGTCAAAAGGTACATGTCTCTCATCACAGAAAAAGATTTTCCACTTGGACCAATCAGTCTCCGCCTTTTGAAGACCTCCACATAGAAATTTAGCAACACTGCCACCAGACACACCAATAAAGAACTTCCCTCTTGCCTTTATGGTTTCATTAGCTCTATTGACAACTAAAGAACACAGCTTGTCTGCAACAATTGTGTCAGAATCAAAAACTTGAACACTTGGAGCTGACATTTTGATTGTTGTCTACGATATCACTAAGAAGAGAACAATTTCAGATCAATGTGGATTGCTCGGCTTACTTTGGCTTTTGATGCTTTTGATGCGTTCGCGTGGCAGTTCCATTCAAAAATACATTTTTAAGGCATTTTGATTTTAAATGAAGCAAATCGATGAATAATATAAGTATTGATTCTTGGTGCTTGGTTAATTGTAACATTACAATGTGGGCGAATGTTGTTGATTTGACAATTCGTGTCAAAACCCTGAACATGCTGAACGAAGCCATACTAATTTTCCAATGTTAACCTGTTTAATCTTGACGCTACTGTCGAATGCAGCATTGAGTAGTCTTTGTCAACTAGTTGGAGATTTCTACAATGAAAAACCGCTCATAGGTCTTCTGACTGGAAAACGGAGACTTTACCAGGGAATTCCCGGATTACGTCATTTCCCAAACAGCCATTGCGTTTAGTTTCTGAAGATCGAAAGTTGAATCTTTTGGAGAATTCTTTATCTTTTTATCTCTGTCAAGGTTTGCTATGTTCAGAATATTATCATACTAAAAGTTCTCTCTAGGGTTCTTGTTACAAGCCTGAATTTTTAAAAATTGTTTTGAAAGTTGAAATCTGATTATTGTGGTTGTTTTTGTTTGTTTGTAAACATGATCATAATCAAATACTAATAGGATTTGGATGTGTCTGAATCATGGAAGCACACTTTTTGACTATTCTTCTAGGTTCCAAACTAAACTGTATCAGTTCAAGTCTTTATCATTGTGTGTGATATTGACATTGAGTGACTCTTAAAAGGTTTCAATTTGATACTCCATCACAATCATCATTGTCACATGTAGTTCAAGAAACAATAAACCCTATTCATAGCCTGTTCAGAGTTGTCTGGGAGGGGGCAGATAAAAATGTGTTTTTTTGAATTAACTTCACATGTGCTTCAAATTTTTCAAGATCACACATTGACTTAAGTTTAAGAATCTAACCACTTTTGTAATTTCAAAATTTAAAAATAAGTTAAGAAGGCTGAAAAATATTTTATGATTAATTTTGTTCTAACATTTTTGTGTGTGATTTCTGTTAGCTGTAATAATTTAGCTTACATGATCAGACATGTATTATTGCAGACTATTCTACTGTGATATATGTAGGCCTACATAATTATATTTATATTACAGATATTTTTATAACTGGTGAGTCACTACCTAATGTCATGTAAAGATATCTACCTCACTAACTGGAGGTATAGAATTATAACAGCACAATGGCACAGTGGGATGGAGGGGCGTCAGAAAGTGAAGATCAATTCTATGGTGCACCATCTCGTACTGGACGAAGAATGATACAGCCACCAACTACTCTAGTAACAGACACAGAGGAACATGTTCGAAATCAGACGTCAGATGTCTTTGCAAACTTTATGTTTCAATCTTATAGACAGGATCAAATTCAACTTCCATATGATTCAATGCCAACTGTAGGTGTGTTTAATGATTTTACTGAGGAACCTCAAAGGTAAGCGTTTTGTGAAAAGTTTTAATTAAAAACTAATTGGCATATAAGTATATCAAGGATATTAACTGATAATAGAATAGTGAATGTTCATGAAATTGGGATAGATTTCAATCTCAATATATCTTTTCAGAAAAGATTTTGCTCGTTATGCAAGTGATAGTTGTAACAACATTAATGAAATCATTGAGCGGAAATAGAGCCAGTTGGAAATATGTTTAAGGTGCCAAGTTCTGACCTTGGCCTTGCCCTATCCGAAGCAAAAAAGTACCTAGGACTATACTCCAATAGTGTTACCATCCATTTCTAAGCTGATTAAGTTCATGATTATGTGTGGCTTCTTAACGATTTTACACAATGATTATATTTTCAGTCCTTCATCAGAAATAGGGCGTCAATTAGCTGTGATAGGTGATGATTTAAATGAAAAATATGCTGATGTTTTTGCTGATATGATAAAAAAATTAAACTTAACCCCTGATACAGCTTATGAAGCTTTTGAAGGGGTGGCTAAAAAGTAAGTGCTGCCTATCATTAAAGTCCCTTGAAATTAAGATATATTTTATAGATGGTTTCCCTTATTTTTATTTATGAAAATGCTAATACTTATATGAATAGAAAGTAGAGGTGTTCTAATGACTTGGATAAATACCTGTTTGTCTCACAAGTCCATAATTAATTTATGATTAGCTAAATTACCAGTAGAATTCAAATGAGTGGCTGATCTAGAAAGGTCAAAAAGTGGTTTTTTTTTTGTTTATCCAGGCTGTAAATACATGGACATAATGTGCAATATGCAATAAGAACATAATGACATGGTTAAGAATACATGATAATTAAAAACTAATTAATCAAATAGTTTGCATAATTTGACACTAAAATATAAGGAAACCCATCTTTAAGGGAAAAATGGCTTCATTTGTTATACGCTTGGTTTTCAACCTTTGGTGTTTGTACTTCTGGAGTTACAAGAGAACATAATAAGGAATGTCAAACGAATTCATATCTGAGGGAAGTAACTTTCGATTGAGATTTTCTCTTTCTACTTCCAGATTATTTGCTAATGAAATGAATTGGGGAAGAATTGTGATGTTATTATTTTTTGGATATCGTATGGCTATGTCAGTATTAAGAACTCATTTTGATCAGTTCTCAAGTTTTTTAAGTAGAATAACAACGTATGTAGTACGATTTATCATTAGTGAAAGAATTGCTCAATGGATAGCAGAACATGGTGGCTGGGTAAGTATTGATGTTATTACTATCTTTAAAAATCAAATTCATTTATATGTTTGAAAAATGGTATGTGAACACAATATAGATCAAACTTACTAAGATATCAATTTTTGCAACTAAACCACAGTCTTCTCTCTGAATTTCAACATCTGAGTATTCCAACAATCTGACATATTTTATTTGAATTCATTTTCATGTGAACATGATAGCTTTAATGTTGATGATATATTTATGAGCTCACAAATTTTATTATTTGATTTCAGCAAGCTGCATTGTCATTTGTACCAAGTGTGAGTACTAATCAAATATTACTAATTGGTGGGATGGCCTGTTTATCTATTTTAGCTGTTTATTTACTCAACAATAAATAGTAATTAGAATAATAAATAGGTCAATAATGTGATAAGACATGATATTTATATGAAATGTTGTTTATGTGACAATCCAAATCCAAAATGGCCGTACTAACAGTTTTTATGCTAAGATTGAGCAGTGCTATTAAGATTTGGTTAACTTTTTGAGGATGGATATCATACTCTCACCATTTGCTGATTGAAGATGATGAATATCATATATCCTTACTATTTGCTGATTGAAGATGATGGATATCATATTCTTACCATTTGCTGATTGAAGATGATTGATATCATACTCTCACCATTTGTTGATTGAAGATGATGGATATCATACTCTCACCATTTGCTGATTGAAGATGATGGATATCATACTCTCACCATTTGCTGATTGAAGATGATGGATATCATACTCTCACCATTTGTTGATTGAAGATGATGGATATCATACTCTCACCATTTGCTGATTGAAGATGATGGATATCATACTCTCACCATTTGTTGATTGAAGATGATTGATATCATACTCTCACCATTTGTTGATTGAAGATGATGGATATCATACTCTCACCATTTGCTGATTGAAGATGATGGATATCATACTCTCACCATTTGCTGATTGAAGATGATGGATATCATACTCTCACCATTTGCTGATTGAAGATGACGAATATCATGTATTCTTTCTATATGCGGATTGGAAAATGGATGCTTCGTGTTGTTTCTAGGTGATAAGGGTAGTGATGAATATCATGTATATTTCTGATGTTAATAGTATGGTGAATATCATGTATCTGTCCGTGTGTTCAATCAAATGATGAATATCGTGTATCCTTTTCATTTGCTTAGTAAAGATTAATATGAATTTTAAGATGTATTAAATGATATAGGTAAATAGATATGATAATTTATAATACCAGTCACTTGATGTGACAATGATATCCAATGTTCTTTTTGTTTTCTTTACAGAAGATTTGTTCAAATTCCTTATTGCCTGTGTACATTTTGGTTTTCAATTTTGAAAATAGACAAAGAAAAAATTGAATGTTTGTTAGTTGATAATTAACAAGCTAGTGTCAGCTTCCTGACAGTTCTGATATTGCAGACTAAATAAAATGCTAATGATTTTACGAAATAAATAGATTTTTTTCCACTAAAAAGACAAATATTTTGATTCACTTTTTTATACTCACAAAATTTTGTTTTTGTAAATATTCAATATATTTGATCAAGTAATAAAAAATCCTTACAAGCAAGACAATTCTATAATCAAAATCTCATCAAAAGTATGACAAAATTGTTAATTCCTTTTAAAAGCAACTAGGATGATTACATAAATTGACTGGTCTTATGAAATATTGATCATGTATAATTTCCACTTGTAGCCAAATCATTCCCACTGAAAATTGAATTATTTTTTTAGAATACTCCTCGGTTATATTTTTTTTACCACAAGTGCAAAAAAAGGCCAAAATTTGAGGAATAAGATTTTTGTAAGTTTTGATACAGATGGTAAATTAATGATCTCATTGAGTTAGTGGAAGAAACCTCCTTCATCAAAAATTCAAAATGATCTCCCCAAAAATTTTAATAGCAATTTGTGATGATATATTTAGTTAAGCTATCTTACCTAGTTCTGTGTTTTGCAACAAGTTATGTTAGCTTATCTAACTTTGGTAAAGTGCAAAAGTTAAACTTACCTTACCTATAATAACACGCTAAAAGATATGATAGCTTACCAAAATTTTGGTAATTTCCTAATGTTATAATAGCTTGCAATAGCTTGGTAACATACTAAAAGTTAGGATAGATTGCAATAGCTTGGTAACATACTAAAAGGAAGGATAGCTTGCAATAGCTTGGTAACATACTAAAAGATAGGATAGCTTGCAATAACTTGGTAACATACTAAAAGGAAGGATAGCTTGCAATAGCTTGGTAACATGCTAAAAGTTATGCAAAATCACCAAACATTGGTAATGTGGCAAAAGTTATGATAGCTTGCATAACTTATCAATTTGATTATATTTTCAACAGGATGTTATAGTTACTGTATAAATTAAAATATTTTTCAAAACATCTTAGCAATATGTAAATTAAGTGTACTTAAAAGCAAAAAATTCCAGAGAAGATCAGGGAGCTTCATGTTTATTGTGATTCAAACATTTTTATAATTTATTTGTTAAATGGGTTAAATTCTTTTTTATCATTTGTCAAACTGGTAGAGGGGCCTTAAAATCTAGGTTCATGACCTTTGTACTCTTTAAGCTTCCGAATTTGAAAGAAGTTATTCAAGGCTCAAAGGAGTCAGTGGGTTGCCTAGGCAATTCAAATTTGGTACCAATCGACTATTGATAAAAAGACCAATTTAAGGCCTTGTTTATCATAATTGTTTTCATATCAGAATTGGAATAAGTTTATTCTTATTTCCTTGATGTTAAAGGTAACTTATGTACGTGAAAGTTTGTTGCTTTGTGCCCACTTAATGTCATTCAAATCCGTTTAACCATAATTCCAGTCTGGTGAGTTTGGGGTTTCCCTTACGAAATTCATTTTTTAGTAACTAAAAACTTACTGTCATAGCAAGAAAGAAAGAAGAATAATTCAGTCATTTTGAATACAATAAAAGTCAGTCAAAACCAAAGGTAGAATAGGTTTGTTATTTGTTCTGTATAGGACTTAATTCCAGTAATCTACTAACCAATTCCACAACCAGTTTATATATACATATACTTGAAATGTTCCCCTCAAGTATTTTATTTCTTGGCCCAGACACCAAGTTTTAGTATTAGTATTAATATTAATCATTAATTTTATCATATCTCTGATAATTTGTAATTATTTAAATGTGACCTTTTGTTATAAGTTAATATATGTATGAAAAATTCTATCCTTATTTAAATTTCTGAATAATTTTTGGTATTTAAGATTTTATTATTTTAAAAAATAGTGCTAAAATGACATTTGATATAATGTTTATGTTTATAAAATTTCACAATAAGAGTTGGTTGTTTTACTGTGATAATATTGTTCATAGGGATATAGTTATTAAGATATTCATCTTGCTGGTAGAGTTATGTGTAGAGCTATATGTAGAATACATGTAAAGCTACTATAGAATAAATATAGAGATCTATATGTAGAATAAATATAAAGCTACATGTAGAATGAATTTAAAGTTATATAGAATATTATTTGGCATGGAATGAAATAGAAGTCAAAATTAAGACTTTTTTCACTACTGATTCTATTTTGGAAAGAGCTATTTGTATCTACATTTGAGCTATTTGTATCTACGTGTTTGACATTTCCACAAGTGTGTTCTTGAACATATGTTTTACTATTTTATTGGGCATATTAATTAAGGTGTTCTATACTATTGTACATATTAAAATTCATGACTTTTATATACAGCTCATGTCCTATTATCAGTAGAGATATTTAGTTATTCCTGATATTGCCTTTAAATGGTGTATTTATTGCAATAGTTCTTCAACTTCAACTTTTAATGAGCAACTTATCCTGACAAAATAGCCCCTCACAATTCTCTCCATACAACTAAACAGTGCTATTTTGGCAGGAATTATTGCTAATTAATGTAATTTGTTCACATAATTTCTCCATTTTCTGTAATGAAAAATTGTCATCTATGATCTGAGAAAATTATTCACTAAATTGGGTTCAGGTGTATTTTGATTGTTTAAATATTGTTTAAATATTTCGATGATCCAGAAATTTTTCTTCAGATCATGAAAGCCATTGGAGTCACCCACAGAAATAACATGAAACAAAACAATTAATTTCAAATCAACTTCCCTTTTCATGTGTATATTTTGTGATTTCTAAAGCAATACCACCAAGTGGGCAGCTAAAACAATAATTATGCAAAAGACAATAATGTGGAAAAATAACAGGCAGCATGAAATTTATTTAATCAGAAACAATTTAGCTCAAATATTGGATCTGGTTTTCTAATAAATCCCTTGTTTTTTGCTCATTTTGGGTATTTCAAAAATGTTTTATTTTATATTAGCTATAATGGAGCTCTTACCTACCCATATTACAGATTTTATCATGTCCTTGACTTATTCATTTATATGCCTTTACAATATTGATAAGGAATCTGAATATTCTACTTTACATTTTTGTTAAATTGCAGAAAAACTGGATGTTGTATTATGATTTTGAAAGATGATAAAGATAGATCAGATCTGTAAAAGCAAATATTTAAATGACTGTATCCCTATTATTTGTAATTTTGCTCAATATGAGTTCAAAATGGTATCTATCATGACTGCTATATAACTATAAGATGGTTTTATATACACCAGGCCTTATCCTCGAAAACTTAACTAACATTGATTTTAGTGTTCCAGTCATTTGATTGGTCAATCGCTAATATCAATTTTCAGTTTTAGTATCCAATCAGAATATTGTATTTCTTAAAATCTAGATTTTATCTTAGTAAAGTTTTCAAGAATAAGTCCCAGTTTACTAACTAATCATGAGTAGACACGGTATGGTGTCCATTCAGTTGAAATTATAGTTTAAGCCTTACTTGGTGTTTTCGCTTCTTCCATACCTTGTCTATTGTTACTTTTAGGCAATAATTATTTGGTCTTTGGAAGTATATTATTTGACCTTGACTTTTTATTTCCAAAATTGAAAATTATTTTTTTGTATTTTATGACAATGTTATAAATAAAGTTGGTCTCATTTAAAAGACATATGATTTTCCATGAAGTCTATATTTTTTAACATTTTGTACATTTTGTATTATAGTCTGTTTCTAAATTGTGTGATGTTTGTTTCAATGATGAATTTATAGAGTATGTGTTTGTATGTGACAATTTAGAAATAAACTAATTAAAGAGAGTATTGTTCTGCTGGTATTTAAATCAGTCATTATTGCTACCACTGGTAGAGTCCAAAATGGAATCCAGCTAATTAAAGGAGAAACAGGTTTGAAAATTGCTGAGATCATTGCTTTGCTTATAAATTACACATTTTGTAAACCTTGTCAGTGCTTCTATTTTTTTTTTACTATGGAATTTTGAGTGAAGATGACTTTTTCTCACCTGCCGACCAAGACAGGAATCAACAACCACCATTTGTTCGACATTTCCAAGCAAAGACATTATGTAAAGAACCAATGCTCAAACTGACTGTGCAACAGAACTTTAGTGTTGGGTGTTAATGTTAGCAGTCAATTTTATTTAGAATAGATTTGTTGGCTCAAATCCACTATCAATGCATTTTGTCAACCCTGCATTAGCTAAATAATTCTTTTTATTTAAAAAATAACATTATAGAATATATGTTTTTATCTTGTAATTTATTTATCCAATAACATGACTTGAATCTTTAATAATCAACTCTATAGGATAGTGATCACTTACAGCCCATGCCTACAAGATCAAAACTTTTATTTTATATTTTAAGCTTTTAGGATATATGAATATAGTGTACAACCATCAAAAATTCTATAAATTAGTATCACAAAAATGGAATGGATCGTGAAAATTTTTCACAAAAATCTGGTAACATTTTTCTGGAATACCATTTTTGTTACTGTTCTGCCTTCGAGTTGTACATATCTAAGAAGCGATTTAACAAGAAAAAAATGATATCTGGTGAACCTAACCTACCTCATCGAATGTTAAATGAAGACCAGTTTCATAATTATAAACTTTAGCTGATTTGGGATCAATAGCAGCTTTAAATTCAGATCCTACTACTACAAATCTGAAGATAAGATTATTTGAAGGTAAGGTAAGGCCTGAATCACGACTGAATGGTAATCTGACAACTGGCAGCAACTTCAATTTTTCATTTGTCAGTATTTTAAGGAGATTGATAAGATTTTCCAAGATGCAGCAGTCATTAATAATCCAGTTACATTCTAACAGTGACTTGGTCGTGTGAGCCCCCTTAAAGTATGAAGAGCCATGTTGATGCAGATTTCTTCAAAATAAGGCTCAAAACTACCTATTCTCCAATCCCAATGATTTAGAATTGATAAATCTTGGAGTGACTAACCTGTCATAAGCACAGTTGGTATGATGACTAGCTGTTGAATCAACTGCTGTGGAGATTAACCAAGTAAATCTACTGTCTGCATGTAAAGGACTAGCAGTTTCTTTAGTTGCACTTAAATAGCTACAATCAGCATTAAAATCACCGGCTATTAATACATTCTGAAATTAAAATACAAGTTATTAATACATTCTGAAATTAAAATACAAGTTATTAATACATTCTGAAATTGAATATCAGTTATTCATTCATTTTGAAAATAGAATACCAGTTATTAATACATTCTGAGAAATAAAATACCAGTTATCAATATTTTCTGAAATTACAAAATCACCTGTTATTGATACATTCTTAAATTAAAATCACCAGTAATTAATATATGTGTGTCTTTCTGAAATTAAAATATCAGTGTAAACAGATTATGAAAAGATGGTACTAACCTTAGTTCCCAAAGCAGAAGATACTTCATCATAGACTGTTGGTAAATGACCAATTTCAGCAGGAGCATCAGAAGGTTTAATGTGAGTTCCAGTCAATACAAAATCCTTTATTGCTGTTAAAACAAACTTCGATCATATTAACTTGACTTTACCTTTGAAATGTACTTTAATATTGTCGAGGTTTGGTCCTTGTTCATATTGAAAGTTTTACTATTGAGTATTAAAGTGATTTTGTGGTAAATTGGGTACATCTATTGGGTGAGTAGGCTTCCTCTAGAGTCCTATACTGTCCTATTGCTCTTACAGTTAATCAAAATCTTATAATTAATTATAGAACTCTACCTGCAGTTGGAACATGAAACAAGACTGAGAATGGCTCTCTCTCAAACCAATCAGGTACATCATTATATTGATACGTCTTCTTTACCGATACTTTATCAGTTCTAAATCATACAATCACCATCATTAGCAATACACAGTGCAATTACTTATATTTATGAAAATTTAATATTTCGCCTGAGAAAGAAGTTAATGACCGAAAGGGACCCTTCAAAGTAACTCCTACAATACATTTATTTTTTTGCTTACTAAATTTGTCCCTGTAAAAGTTTAAGTTACAGTGGATCAGAGACAACAAACATCTATTACGTCTAGCAAGTTTATCTAGCTATTCCACTAACATGCTTAACAAAACGGTCCTTGTTCCCAAATAAGATATGCCGAAGAACTTGCATGTGTTGCGCATCTAGAAGTGGATTTCGCCTACAATACCAATGCCATCATGCAAGGATAGAAAACAGATATACCTGTAGATGAAACCATAATATTCTTTATAAGATGTTCTACCAATTTTACTACTGTGAACAAAGGCATATTTAACAGACCCTTTGCTGAAATTAATGTTAACATTTCAAATGTGCTGTCAAAACTGTACAAATTAAAATGGCAGTTTGCATTTATACATAGTGGATATATTATAGCTCCCTTTTCAAGACAGATGTAGTTATCTGAAACAAGCATCGGATTCACATTCCATACATCTTTTGCAAAGGCAAGACCAAAGAGAAATCTGTGATGACTTACCTATTCAACCCAGATACAATTTTACCAATACCAGTAAGATCCATCACTTCCTCTATAACGGCTATATCATATCTACTTACTATCTAAAAGCAAACAAGAAAGGTAAAAATCTATGTGGTCGATGTCAATAATTCCACATGCTATCAAAGTGTTCTCAGAAACGGTGCATTGCCAGACGATGCACTTTTTAATTAGATTTTCTCCCGGCCATTCCCAAGTACTTGAATGTTCTGTATGAATTTCATGATAATCTGTTCAGGAGATTCACAATTTCAAAACTGTTTTCCCGGGTTCTTGAGATGTAGATGACATCAATGAAACAATTGTTCGGCCAGAGTAATAATCTGATGCTCTCTGTACTAGATTGGGTACCTTACTAGGCGACTCTTTGCAAACACCACGGAAACATTCGTCTTCATAGATCCAATCAAGAGCATTTTTTTTATTTCATTTAAAATGGTGCGACGTTTTCCAATTCAAAAGGTAACACTATGTAGTTTACTCTGAAAACAACGTCTTGGCTGATCAGTGGACAATATAAAGGTCAGTCTCTATGCCGGATTAATTGATGGAAACCTGTGTTACCTGGATCATGTGGTCTAGAGCAGCAGTGTTACTAACAGCACGAGCACTTAATCTTCTGATGTTGAAAGCAGCAAGATGTAGAGCACTGACACTGTAAACACTAACAACAACAGTCAACACTAATGACTTCAACATCATGATGGTGGTGGAGCTCTGTCTAATAAAACATCTTGAAATTATCAAATAATCCAATCCCTTTTACCTAACACTATCATTCGTCATTTGTCCTTTGAACTCAGACTCTCACAGATCGAGAAGAAACAAATAACTAACTCGTCACTCTTGTCATAGAAAAGAATAATGGAAACTCGTGTCCCTGGAACATAATCAACGCGATGGGTGCCAACAGTTAGAAAAGTTTGGGTGTTTATTTTCATTTGTCTCAAGTATGTCAATTTGAGAGATTTTGGAACCAAGGCCGTTATTTCCAGGGAGATTGCTGTAATCCAAGAATACATGATAAAGCTCAATTTCATAGCGAAAAGTTTGGAAATAGGACAACTTACCTAATGGAGACAGATGGTACTGGAATGAGATTGGTCTAATTCTTCTACCACACCTTTTGTGGGTCAGTTTATTATCTCTTTCATAGATAAGAGACTTTTGATCACACCTGATTCAATGTATAATAATCTCAATGCCATAGATTCACTTCATCGTACCATAATAAAAGAATAGTTCGCTTGATGGTATGACTACATTATGGTTCACTTGATATTATAACAACAGCATTATGGTTCACTTGATAATATGACTAAATTATGGTTCACTTGATGTTATAACAACAGCATTATGGTTCACTTGATAATATGACTACATTACGGTTTACTTGATAATACTACATTAGGGTTCAGGTGACTTTTCATTCCTGTGAAAGGTTTTATTTTGAAGTAAAAATTACGCCCTCTAAATGCTCAAAATTTATCTGAGGCCAATTGAAATTTATTGGCATCTGGAAAGGGTTTTCAGCCCGAATGAACCCTGGCCACCCTTCATCTCCCCCTCATACATTTGATTCAGGTATGGCACCATTATGGTTAAACACAAAAGAGTTAAATATATCACCAGGTTTTATTACATAGTTTATATTCTACAATATAATGTTTAAATACAGGGTATATTATTGAGATCAACTAATGAAATAATTGTGCAAGAGATTTAAAAGGGTTACAGTACTAACTTATATTCACTGAAATTGGCTGGTGGACATAAATATCCAAAATACTCTTTAACTGTCACTCAGACATGTTACTGAGCAGAAGCTGTACTTACAATGCCTAATGGAAAATTATTAATTTATTTCACACTAGTCATAAAAAAACCCAGTAGATTAATGATCAATGGGAGAAAGGATTATCCCACTTATTTAGATAGTTTGAATTTAAAGTACACAACCATTTGCAAGGATGAATGTCAGAAAAAAATGTATTAATTCAATTTAATATGAAAATTAAAAATATAAAAAATTTACTAGATTTACCCAGCTTCTACCTTTGGCTTACTAATATAAATGCAGATAGACTAATTAAATATACATATATATAGTACCTAATTTACTCGAGCTGTACTTAAATGAGATTGAGAAATAACAAATATCTAGATCTGTACTTTAAAGAGATTGAGAAATAACAAATATCTAGAGCTGTACTTAAATGAGATTGAGAAATAACAAATATCTAGAGCTGTACTTTAATGAGATTGAGAAATAACAAATATCTACAGCTGTACTTAAATGAGATTGAGAAATAACAAATATCTAGAGCTGTACTTTAATGAGATTGAGAAATAACAAATATCTACAGCTGTACTTAAATGAGATTGAGAAATAACAAATATCTACAGCTGTACTTTAATGAGATTGAGAAATAACAAATATCTACAGCTGTACTTTAATGAGATTGAGAAATAACAAATATCTAGAGCTGTACTTAATGAGATTGAGAAATAAATTAAATATACAAATTGTACTTGAATAAGATTGTTAATTAAATAATTACTAAGATAATACTGATAGAAAAAGGCAAGAAAGAAACACAATAGTATGTCTAAATATTTTTAAAGTTTTAAAAGTCTTTGCTGTTTCTCAAAAATATATTAATTTGAACAAGGGTAACCTTTTGGTACACTTTGGCACCAAAAAAGTGACTGAAATGGTGCATATTACATAAATTCTTACAAAAAAGTGGCAAATTACTTTACAATAACACTGTGCATTCAACAATGGTTTTGTAACACTACATAACTCTTGAAATGTGCTTTTTGATATCAGTATGTATCAAACTTGTTACAAAGACTTGGTTAATAATGTCATTCAACTTGTTTGATAAAACTGCTATTATCAACTAACAGCACAATGTAGAAAATGCAAAAAGAATTACAAAGCTTTATCACATTTAAAGGTAACAAATATTTCATAACAAATTAAAGTATAACAAATATCACAGATGGAAGAATCAACAAGATATAATGGGCTAAGCAATGTGCTATGTGGATTACTACTTAAACTACAATTTGTGGTAACCAGAACATACTAATAATTCTGTCAAAATATTTCAACTAACTAAATCTAACAATCACAGCCATTTTGTGCCTCATTAAGATTAGAGTGGCGTATATAGTCAAATCAACACGCTGATGGAAAATATTGTGAAAACTTTATAGTGACCATTCTCTGATAGATGAAAATGAAAAATCCAGTTGAATTTAGTTTTGTGAACCAATCAGATTTTTGAAAATCTCAAGTCAAAATGATTTTAGTGTTCCAGTCATCTGATTGGTTAATCACTCAATTCATTTTTTAATTTGTTTTTTTATCCAATCAGATTACTGAATTGTTTAAATTTGACTATAAAGTAATTGGACAGTGAACAAGCTACTACAAATTTAAGGAGAGCAATTGACATAATTTCATAAGATTTGTTTATCAATAGGAATGCTCGAAAAAAACAAAAGTCTCACGAAAATATTTGTGAAAGTTGTATGCCCTTCTGTTGTTCTTTGACTGCTGCATTCAATTCTTTTTGACGTTGAGCATTAGTTTCTAACTGTTGAAAATGATGCATTCGTCTTATTTTTGCGTTTCTATGTTGGGTATCTAAAATCATTTTCTTGGCTTCTTGTTCATCTAATTTTTGAGTAATAGTTTCAACTCGTTGTTGACTATGTTGCTCTTTAATTATCTGAAAAAAAAAAAAAACTTTTTACATTATTTTGTGCATACCATATTTTTAATTCAGATGAATTTTGAGAAGACAATTTGTAGCAGAATTGATTTTATTTTAGAATTTCAGTACATCAAAAAAGTTATAGTGGTTATGCTTTTGTCAAAATTCCAATTCATGGATTGTTTATTATACCAGGAAATTCTGATATGTTTCAAATAGCCTACTATTGATGCAATCACATGAAGATATTATTTGTCAACAATCTAAATAGGCCTCCAGAACTCTTACCTTGCGTCGTTCAACAATATTTTTTAACTCTATTTGTCTCTGTGCCTGAAGAGCTTCCCGATGTTCTCTATTTTTAGCCATGGCAGCAATTCTTTGATCTTCTTTACTTCGTTCATGTTTCTGATTAGATTCAATTCTAGCACGAATTTCAGCACTGATATTTTTCTTGGCTTCTCTCTGTCTCTCAATCATTTTATGGTCATTAGCTTGTCGCTCTCTTTCATGGTTTAATTGCTCTATTATTTTCTGTCGATGTTGATCCTGCATCAATTCCTTCATATTGTGTTCTTCTGCCACTTTGTCTTGCCATTCCATGTGTCTCTGCATTATTTTTCTGCGTCTGCAAACAGATGTATCAAATTCAATACAATTCATACTTTGTGTCTATTGCTTAATTCAAATATATATATCAAAACATGGTTCATTACCCATTCAATACAAGTTGTATTTATGAGTCGAATTATCAATACGACTCAATCTACTGATACATGTCAATCTACTAATACATTACAATTTATACACAGTTTGATACAAATCCATCTATCAATACACATCAATCTACTGATACACGTTGTTCTAGTGATACACATCAATCTACCGATACACATCAATCTATCGATAATTGTCAATCTATCAATACACGTCAATATATCAATACAAGTCAATCTACTAATACAAGTCAATATATAATTACACATCAATAACTATCCTGTAGTATGTGGTCTAAAATTGGTATTTCAAAGAGTGAAAATTTAACATGACACAAAAGGTTGGTTAAAACTGAGGGCAATATCAAGACCACACAAAAATCCAATTAGTATTCTATAATTTCAGAAGCTCACCTGTATTCACGCCTTGCGTCTGCTATTTGGTCTTTGCTAGGATTCCTGGGTACATCTGTCTGTATATTCACAGATTTACTTAAACCATTGGCCAGCTTTTCAACAGCACCATCTTGAAAATTGACTGACTTACTAAAACCATTTTTCAATGTTGGTGGTTTTGGTTGTAAAACTGAATTAATGCTTTGAGCATGATTGTGCTTGGCAAAAGTATCGACATAGTGGAATTGAGGATTTTTCCATTCAACTGAAAAGATCAATAATGAGCAAGATTAAAGCACAAGAGTTAAAATGTTCTTCACATTGACTGAAAAAAGCATGGAACTGTACAAATAGCAAATAACAGACTCTTTCCCCCCTTTTCAACAAGAAAAACAAATTTCATGGCCATCACAGACTTACAAAATCTTTACTAACATCAGCTTGCCAAGATAATTGATTGCAGTACACTTCAGTTACATCTTCACAAATTTTCTTGATAGCTTTTGATACCAGGACAGCTCATATTCAAACTTTCATGAGCCAATGGTAAAATCTCAAACAAGACAGCTTAACCTTTGTTATACTAAACCAATGTGGACAAGGTCCATTAATTATTTTTCTTTTTTTGGCAATAGATCATTTAAAAACAGTACAGGGCTATAGTTTGTTAATTCAAATTCTTAACTTACCTATATAAGGATAACTTGATGTTCTAACTTCTAAAGGAGCTTCAGTAGCAGTTTCTCTGAAGCCTTCATATATTCCCATTTCTCGCAGTTCTGTATCAGTGTCATATAAAACTGGACTTGGATCTGATTTCCAGTATTTCCATGCTGGTCTTTTCTTCATGGCACTATCAGCAGAACTTGGTCTTCTGAAGAACAATAAACTGGAATCTGTGTTGACACCAATATTTCTGGAGGAACCAATATAATCATAGAAATTCTTCCAGGAATTGCGTTCCTTTTCTGACAAATCTGGATCAATACATCGATATTCCAAATCTCTGACCTCATAATCGTAGACATCTCGCCAGTAGCCTCGTTCTTTAGCAGATAGTGTCTGATCTCTACCTCTGTATTCTATATCTCTCATCTCATTGTTGTAAGCCTCTTTCCAGAAAGTTCTATCACTCTCGGAAAGGTTTGGATCTCTACATCTTTCTTTCATGTCTCTCATTTCCTGATCAAATTTAACCTTCCATAACTCACGTTGACCTTTACTGAGGTTTGGGTCCGAACATTTTTGCTTTATATCATTGAGTTCATTATTGTAGGTGCTACGCCATAATTCTCGATCACTCTCTGACAAATTTGGATCTCGACAACGGTACTTCAAATCCATCAGCTCATCATCATATTTCTGTTTTATACGCTCTCTTAGTTCCTCTCGAACTGTGGGATCGGTACATCTACTTTTCAGATCTTCCAATTCCTTATTGTATGTGGATTTCCAAAAATCTCTATCAGCATCAGAGAGATTTGGGTCTCTGCATTTGAATTTCATGTCTCTGTATTCACTTTGGTTATATTTGTCTGAGCTGTCAATTGAGGGATAACCATGTGTATCATACAGAGGTTTTCCATCAGGACCAATAGAGACACCAGATTCATTTTGTTCAGGTACAAACTGTCCATTGCTGTCAAAATAACCATAAACCCCTTGAGTTTCATATGGTACAAATTTACCGTCATTATCCATGTAACCATACATTTGATTGTCACTTCTTTCAGGGACAAATTTTCCATCACGATCAATGTAACCATAGTTTTGACCTTGACTTCTTTCTGGTACAAATTTTCCATCACGATCAATGTAACCATAGTTTTGACCTTGGCTTCTTTCTGGGACAAATTTTCCATCATGATCAATGTAACCATAGTTTTGGTTTTGACTTCTGTCAGGAACAAATCTTCCATCACTGTCAATGTAACCATAGTTTTGGTTTTGACCTCTGTCAGGTACAAATTGTCCATCTTTGTTCATGTAACCAAAAGTTTGTTTCTTATCCTCTGGAGTGAAATATCCATTTTCATCAAAATAACCATATGTTTGACCTTCAATGTTACCAAGGCGACCATCTCTATCAATAGTGAATTTACCTTCCTTATCTAAGTACCCATATTTACGACCTCCTGTGCTGTTGTGATCAGGAACAAATTTACCATCTTTGTCCATGTATCCATAGTTACGACTGGCACCATTTTGACTTCTATCTGGCTGAAACTTTCCTTCTTTGTCCATAAAACCATACATTCGTCCATTTTCAGATCTATCTTCGATAAAATTTCCATCCTTATCTAGGTGGCCATATCTTTTATTATCACTACTTTGACTTCTGTCGGGTATAAATTGGCCATCTTTAAAAAAGCCATATGTACGACCACTATCACTATAGTCGCGAGGTGTTGCTGACATTTGGACAAGATTTTCATCATTGAATGACACTGACTTGTGTAATCCATTCATAGAACGGTTTCCACGTCTGTTAAGCAACCGACCATTTTTCTCATTTTCTCTTTCATCCAGTAACAACTTGTGTTCCATTAACTGAGATGAGACTCGATCTTCCAGTTCTTTGGTAGTGAGTTGAGTTCCTGGGATCAAGGCATGAACATCTTCACTCTTCACCACAGTTTTATGCTTCTTTGGTTCTGAACGCTTCAAATATATGGGATATACAGGGGCATATGGAGGATATCTATGGAATGAATTCAATGGCACATCTGATTCTAAGACTAGTGAGACTGGTTTGGGATATTTCTGAGGGTATGCAATGGGTCCAGAAGTTGGATACCCAGGAAGGTTTTCTAATGGATAATTTGGTTGAGATGCCAATTTTTCTCTGGTGCTTCTTGGCATGTTGAGTTCTAATTTGAGTCTGTCATACATGGGTTCTGGTATCCAAACAGCAGTATCTGGTGCTACTTTCTCAGTTTTACCATTACTAAAAGCTACAGTAATTCCTTTGTCATCTGGACCTGTAATAAACATAATACAAATTTGAAGAAAACTCCATGTCAACAATTGTTTTGGTTGGGTAAAAATATTGTAATTGTTGAACAAAATATTCTAAAAATGTGTTAGTAATCATATTTCTGAAAAATGCTGAAAAAGGACAATTTCAATTATTCCACTACACCTGGATCAATTGTTGGTATCAAAAAGTTCAATTTTGCACTCAAGGCTCAAGATTTAGTCATTACAATTTTAGCATGCGATAGTTATCACAATTTCATCACAGACTCTAGCATGTGTTAGTTATCACAATTGTAGCACAGAATCAAGCATGTGTTCGCACAAAACATGCATACATGTGTTAGTTATCACAATTTCAGCCCAGAATCAAGCATGTGTTAGTTATCACAATTGTAGCACAGAATCAAGCATGTGTTAGCACAGAATCATGCATACATGTGTTAGTTATCACAATTTCAGCACAGAATCATGCATGTGTTAGCTATTACAATTTCAGCACAGAATCAAGGTTGTGTTAGTTATTTCAGCTCAGCACAGAATCAAGCATCACATTAGTTATAACAATTTCAGGACAGAATCAAGCATGACATTAGTAATAACAATTTCAGGACAGAATCAAGCATAACATTAGTTATAACAATTTCAGCACAGAATCAAGCATAACATTAGTTATAACAATTTCAGCACAGAATCAAGCATGACATTAGTTATAACAATTTCAGCACAGAATCAAGCATAACATTAGTTATAACAATTTTAGCACAGAATCAAGCATAACATTAGTTACAACAATTTCAGCACAGAATCAAGCATAACATTAGTTACAACAATTTCAGCACAGAATCAAGCATGACATTAGTTATAACAATTTCAGCACAGAATCACGCATAACATTAGTTATAACAATTTCAGCACAGAATCACGCATGCGTTAGTTAGCCTTTTAGCATATAAGCTTATACATAAAACACATTTACACAAAAATGCAAACAGTACTTACACAAATTGAGATTAAAAGCAAAAAAAAAGAGAAAGAAAACAAAGCCTTGATTATTGACTAGATGAAATTGATATCTAAAAATTAATCTTCCAAAATGTAATTGATATACATGTACATATAGAATAGTACGATTCCCAGTGGATAACACCATAAAAACTAATGATATGGTAAATAAATCTCAAACTTAATCCATAAAAACAACTAAAATTTATAGTAGATAGTAATAAGGTTTATGCATTAAAAAAAATTTGAAAATAAACTAAAATCTAAAAAAAAGTAAAATTCTGACCCAGAAATTGTAAAAGTATATTTTCTATCATCTGGCTTCTGATTTTATCAATGTTCCAAAAACTTTGCAACCAGAAAAGATGAAAATAATTGTCAACGATAGCTTAATCTATAAGAATTCATAACCACAAGGTTGTCAACTATAGCTAAATTTATAAGAATTTATAACCTTAAAATTGTCAACTATAGCTTAATCTATAAGAATTTATAACCTTAAAATTGTCAACTATAGCTTAATCTATAAGAATTTATAACCTTAAAATTGTCAACTATACCTAAATTTATAAGATTTTATAACCACAAGGTTGTCAACTATAGCTAAATTTATAAAAATTTATAACCTTAAAATTGTCAACTATAGCTAAATTTATAAGAATTTATAACCTTAAAATTGACAACTATAGCTTAATCTATAAGAATTTATAACCTTAAAATTGTCAACTATAGCTAAATTTATAAGATTTTATAACCACAAGGTTGTCAACTATAGCTAAATTTATAAGAATTTATAACCACAAGGTTTTGTCAACTATAGCTAAATTTATAAGAATTTATGACCACAAGGTTTTTAACTATAGCTTAATCTATAAGAACTTATAACCACAGAATTAAGTCAAAGCCTTAAATATATATATGTCTATATGATATTTGCAATGTTCAAGTCTGAAAACTGCTCTGAAAATTTCTCTTACCTCTGTAATAAGGATAAAAATCTCTAGAAGACATCTTAATCACATTCAAAAAAATGTCTATCTAACTCAGTATTTAGCATCAGTTGTTAAGAGATGTTTAGAAGTATTTACTTTGACAACATTGACGACACAATATTATATTGATTATTTTAACTCTATGAGATATATAGACTATAATTTCTATTATCATTGATGCTCTTGGATACGGCATAGCTAACATTTTTCATGATCAATAAAGCATCCCTCATGTTCTATTATTAGAAAATATTTTTCCAAATGACCTATATGTAATGTTGACTAATTAATGCATTATGGCTTTAATTGCTGATTGAACTTAATTTCAGATATTAAGAAGAAAACCTTTAAAAATCAAGTTTAAAATGGGTTAGTTTGGTTACATTTTTATAAAATCTATTCTGAAGCCATGAAACAATATCAAAACATTTTGCTAATGATTTTCTATCTACTAGAAATTTGTTAAAATAAATCACAGTGTTGTTTCTACAGGAGCCAAAACTGATATCTCTCGCTTTGCCACTAAACGTTTATCATTTTATATAGTAAAAGATAACCCTTTTAGCAATTCTGTGGTATCCACTTGGCCTCCCCACCTAATGATTATATAAATACCACTGATTGATCAATTGAAGTACTGGAATTTCTAAGACAAACATTTCCAGATGGCTATGAAAAAGTTAGTCGGAATATTTGTTTACCTTCAGATTCTCTCTTTTCAAATCCATCAATAACAACACCAGGACCAAATTTATCTCCTTCTGGTTCCCATGGTGATAAGACTTTATCTCCAGTTACAACAGTTCTCCTCTTAGCATCAACATAATCTAATATATCATGAACCATTGTTTCTTGGTATGTAGTATCTTTATATTTACCATGTTTACACGGACCAAATGCTACCAGGAACTTATTTTCATAAATCTGAAACAGAATGACCATTACAATTTATGTTAACATAGACATGTATCTATTTGACAAGAGCACATGTTACCGACATGTGTTTCTTTGAACAATCAAAGCATGCTTAGAATCACATTTAGGAGCAAGAGGTACAACATATCCCACTTTCAAGATTAATTTGTATTTGTTCGAACAAATTATGATAATCATGTCTTCAGATGTAAATGACCAAATCTCATTCCATGCTGACATGTTTTGGTTACACAACCCCCTCAGGACAGCTGAATTTATAAATTGAAAGGATCTAATCACTGCAGCTGTCAGAAGTTTCAATAATACAAGCTAAGGCTAAAAATACTAAACAAAATATTGCATGCTTGAAAGTAAATATATGAAACAATGACTTTACCTGACTTTGAACACTTCCTGAATAAAAATAGCCATCTTCATTACGTCTGGCTAAAACTTCTTTACCTATTAACAATGCCCCAGCAGCAGGTGACATTTCTAATGCTTGTGCCTCATCTAATAGTTTGTCTTGCATCTTTAACCAGCCTTTAGCTGGTCGATAACGACTCCAATAAGAGGGGTGATAATAACGATAGCCTTGAACGGGAGGAAAGACATAAGGATTTATGACTGGAGAAACTAGTCTAGAGTTGAGGTAGGCACTTTCTATAGGGTCAGCAGCTAATGTGGTTGAGACATTACATTGTTTAATTTTAGAAAACAAATTGTTGTCTGTTGATTTCAGATAGTTTGAATGTTCAGCTTTGAACACGGGTGTAAGTTTTTCAATGGCGCCTTTAGTTGTAATGCTGGCTATGAAAAATGAACCATAAGTTTCTATGGCTAAATCTTCTAAAAATTCAGTTGCAGATTCATCAGCTTTTTCACCCATTAAATAAACACAATGGACTGGACGATCATTGTCCACATATCCAACGTGGTCTAAAATTTCTTCTGGATTTTGATCTGGTAGGCCGTCTGTCACCAAATATACAGCTTTACATTCTGGATCACCAAAAGCAATTAATAATGCATCCATTGTATTTGTTCCTGTCTTAGCACTCAGTTCATCAATCCATTTACTTGCCACAGCCACTGTTTCCGGGGTACATTTGACCATCTTGTCTGACCACTGAGTTATTTGGGAATTGAATTCTACGATATTAAATAAAGGAGAACCACTAGAATGTTTGACATGTTTATACAAAGCTTCTACTAATTGTTCTTTCACTACATGTAAACAGTTATACATGCTACCAGAGGTATCCACACAAAATGTCACACTCTCTTCCACAACATTGTCAAAGATCATAGGCGCTGGAACTGGTGCCTCCTCCATTTTATGTTCACTCTTTGGTTCTTCTGATGACATCATCTGAAAAAATGTTAAACCATACAAAACATTTTTTGACAAATTATCCTTTAGGTTTTATAAAGAATCCATTGGAGAGCCTCACCAACAATGATGCGTCCAGAGCTGAGTAACACTTATTAATTGAATTTGGATAATGATCATATTCTTAACTACTATAAATTTACAGAAATATTGTTGTCATCTGAAACTCTTAAATGTACTCTTTGTACTTTATAGTATATAATAGTCTAAAACAATTTACTTTCTATACCTGCAGCCATTAATCGCTTTTCTTCATTATTCCAGAAAATTTGAAGCAGTCAATGTAGATTATAGGTATTATGAATTTCTTTATTAGGTCCAAGAAGATTTATAGGATAACCGTTATGATCTTCTTTGATTTAGTTCATTGCATATTAGCATCACAATTATTGTAAACATAACTTTAACCCTGTGCCAGTGCCTTATATTGAATAGTAACTGGTTACTCTTCAATCACCCTAATCTCTAAGCCAGTACAAGTATTCTTACATATGGTTATAAGTAAAATTACTGTGCAGATCAGCACCAAATACAGAAAAAATCATTATCTCCTAGCAACTGACCAGGTTTCTTAATCTTTAATGCACAGTTTAGAATTACATTTTAATCTTAATAGATTTCTTACATAAACAATTGCACATAAACATTCATATTACAATAACTGAAATAAGATATAGCCCTCATTTACTTTTTGGGATCTAGTTCAAATCTAAATATTTGCTTTACCGGCAGGTTTAAGCTATAATGCAAACCTTTTCATAAATACTGTTTTCATGCAATTGGGAAAATATATTCATAATCTTAAAGTATGCAATCAAATTTGACTTCGTTACAGTTACAAACAATAATGTTCCATCCATTCCATGTCTCATTAGCAGTGACTTGTAATAAACAAGCTGTGGACTAGAGAAAGTCTTAATATTAATCTAAATTATCCCAACTGGCATTATAAATCAAGATATTGAACATAGTCCATAGAACCATAGCAAATCATGCACTCATCAATAAAAAAAACCCCACAAAATTCACAAAATATGGTTCAACCTTTACTACTTTTTTTTTATTAGATCTACTAAATGCAAAATTAATTAATACACCTTGTAGACATAAGAAAACGTAGATCTAAAGCTAAAAATGATACATAGTGTGGGTTGAGGTTTCTAACCCTGCCCAAATTTTGATGCCTGTGCCAGTGCTTCTGAGAGTTGGCTGATTGAGTCGGCTTACACAACCTAGTAGTAATACCTGCCAATGCCCTCAGTGTGGTCAAAATTCAATAAATTAGGAATGATGTACAGGATAAGCAATGTATTCTGTACTCAAACAAGGCCAATTAAATAAAATAAACCTCCAAGAAAAGGCATAATATAAAGGCATCTATTAAGGCATTCTAACCTCAAAAGTGAAGGCTTTAAAAAAAATTTAAAACTTTTGCACTGGCTCAACTAATCAATCTCAGGCTTTTCTGATGTCATTGCCGACATTGATGCCTTAATTAAAACCTAAAATTGTATTATTCACACTAAGACTTACTAATTATCGGTTACAGGATCCCAAATCTACTTCATATTCCTGATCTTCTTTTCTTGACAGATTGAATTGTTACTATTTACAATCACGCACCTGTTCGTTGTCAAGGTAGCCATTTTCTGTCACGTGATGAAGCGAAAGTTATTATTTTCGAATATCCAGTAATTTTATGGTTCTGACCGGAAGTTGAATAGGTTTTGTCAAGGTCGGTGTAAAACTAAACAAGACTGGAGAAGTGAGAGAAGACTGACCATCATGATTGTCTTGCCTGGATCGCGGACAGTGGCGAAAGCATTGGGCAGAGTCAATTGTGGAGTTGCCCGCCAGACAATCCGTAAAGCAAGCGGGTTAGTAAGCTAACCTATATCTCTTCAGTGCCCAATTAAGGTCAAATATCTCTTCTAATTCGATGTTCATTCACACATATAATAGGCCTACCCTACAATCCTACATAACTTTTATAAGACCTATTCCTATTTGATTTGAAATGACACATTATTTACCCACACTTATTTTATGATATCGCTGAAGCTAAGGCCCCTGATATATATTCTGCCCCCTCTGTCTTACAACCATAGACATCTGACAACAATTGAAAATGGTGCAAAAAGAGGCTATTATTAGACTAATGTCAATTTAAAAAGTTTACAAAAACTCTTAAAAAACCTCTTTATGGGAGGTATAGCACATTAACACAAAATTTCTGAGAAATATCTTGATTAAAGTGGCAGATAATGCTGATTTTCAATGCATTTTGAAATATCTATATGTAATGGAAGTTGATGGAACAGGGATTAGATCTTTTAATTTTAATTAAAAACCAAGAATTATTTTACACTGTTATCAGAAATTGAAAAGCTTATATCTGTATAAAAGAAATATTTGTTTACCTAAGTCTTGTTGTTAAAATTAAAAGATGGCTTGTCAGAATAAGCTTATATTTGACCTTCAGAGCTTAAATCTATTTCAAAGAGAGTTAACCAAACTTTTATTTTCAGAGAATGGGGCTACAGAACAACTCAGTCTCAGTGGTCTCTAAGTGAGAAGATAGCAGTAAATTTCATGTATTTCTCTTTGTTTAGTTGGTTGTTATATCGTGGTTACCATGACTTTTCACATCATGTTGTAGTAAGTTATATTTTTTTTTCTTTCCTCTTTTGCTTGTAATTCTGGTTTCCCTTGAGTGAGTCAGGTTACAGGAGCTGACATTGAAATGGCACAAGTGTTCAGTCACTGGGATTTTAGGTTGTAACATTGCGGTAAAGTAATGGTATGAAAGCAGGCATGTTATGGTAACCTCTTGTGAGAGAGTATTGTTTATGCATTTAGATTGAATAATATAATAACCCTTCTTTAAAACTTTATATGTATGTGTAGTTCCAAAACCGTAGCCTAGGGGTTACAGTGCTTTTGAACAAATTATTTCACAGTATTCCTCTCTCTTATTTTAGGCCTCTAAGGATTACCCCAAGGCAAGTTCATATACTGATGCAGAATTAGGTATACCACCCGATGATGAGGAACTTGTTGAAGAAGAGTAAACTATGTAAAATATTTATTTAGATATTAGTTGGATGTATGCAGATATACTTACACAATTGGCCATTTAAACTGTAAAAATATTGAAATTTTGAAAATCAAATGTAAAATGGTTTTGAAATATGTATTAAAGTATGTGAAATCAAGTGAAGAAAATATTTCAGTCATTTCAAGAATTCAGGGTTTCTATGTTACATATGATTTACAATTTTGTTTTTTTCCCTGATATTTTAAGTTGCCATTGTAATCTAACAAGTTTTCTATCATAGTCTAGTTCCCATGAATCTATTTTTAACCAATTATAGTTGGTAATGTAAGACCTGTGTCTTGATAATAATGATGAATTGTGGGATATTGGCTGTGAGAAGGCTGTCATATTTTAAAAAGATTGACTCGCTGCATAAACAAGATTTTTTGGGGGTCACGACTGTACAGAATTTGAAGTGAATTTATTTCTTCAATTCTCTTACTGTGTCCTGAACTTATTTTCTTCTTATCAACATTCAAGCACAGAGGGTGATTTGATCCAAAATCCACACCTTTTTAGAAATCAAAGCAAGCTACATAAAGTTTATTTAAAAGAAATATTTCATAACAAAGATAAAATACTGTATAATAAAATAACAAAATATCACAGCAAATTGTACATATCACAGTTAGCATTTAATATACAGAATTTCCAACAAAATCAGATAATCTTGCGTATAATTATCATACACAAAATGCGTAATTTGATGACCAAAACCAGAGCAATATCAAAAGTGATTATTGTACTTTATGAAAAAAAAAAGATTAATTTTCTCGGCTCTGTCCATAATGCTTAGTTTTAAATGTAAAAGTGCAGTATAAAATGTCACTTTCGCACAGATTTGCTTAACAGAAATAAAATATTGCTTTAATATAATTAGTATGTACATGTAATATATTTTCTATATTAACTTTAAGTCAGAAAACAAAACATAATTATTCTTGATTTTTACAGATTTCCGTGTGGAGTACAACTGATGCAATTAAAATTCATTATTTTTTCAACAAAAAGAGCTGTATAACTAACAATAAATTCATTACTTTTAACAGGGTGAGTTGTACAAATAATTAAATCAAATTCATTATTTTAAGAAAGAGGGGCATACAACTAACAATTAAATCCATTATTTTGTAAGAAAACAGGTTGTACAACTAAAACAATCAAGAATCATTATTCTAAACAGAGGGAACAATACAAAAAAGTCATTATATTGGCAGGGGTAGTTGTACAATTAACATATCATTTTCATCATTTGAACAAAGGAATTGAAACACAATCAAAACCCATTATTTTTGACAAGAGGGGTTGTACAACTAACACAATCAAAATTCATTACTTTTGACAAGAGTAAGATTTACAACAAGGGGTTGTACAACTATCACAATTATTTATAACACAAAATCATCTTCTTGAGTCACATGTGCATAAAATGAAACTTTAATGTTTTAAATAGAATTTAATAAAATCATTATAATTTATTTGATTATCTAAATTTTTATCATAGTAGGAAATCATATGAGTAAACTCTTCTTCACTTAAATTAACATTAAATTGTCGTAAAATATGACGAAAATCATCTGAGAACACTACCCCCGTAGATTGTGGATCAACGACACGAAACATACGCCTCATATCTTTCCAGTGTTCACTTACTGTTGCTTGAATCTGTTTCATTGTATCTTGGTATCTATCATTTGCTGATTCCATTTTAGCCTGCAATGAAAATAAAGTTATAATAAGGCTGTTTATTTACCATATCCATGAGTAACCTTTTTGTTTATCTAAGAGTGCCTTTGTATCGCATAAATGAGAATATAGTGTGTATCCCTTCTTAGCATCAAGTGAAATCTCCTATAGTACCTATATGGGAATTTTTTGCATTTATGCTTTAAATTGTCCCCAGATATGCATATATATATATATATATATCTTTGCATGAATAATTTAGATGCTTCTATTTTTTAAAAGTAATTGGAAGGCAAAATTTATTCTTTCTAGTAAAACCTCTTACCTCTAAAATAGTAGGATGGAATTGTGGTCTTTTTATAGATCTTTCTCTAGATTTTATATCTAATACAAAATGGCGTAAGAAATCAGAGTAACAAAAACTGCCATTTTCTTTTAAGTCATATTTGATCATTAAGGTGTTAAAATCTTCTGGTGATAAATCTACATCTAACTGTTTTAATATACCTAAAAATAAATATCATGTGACATAATCATAAGTGAAAGATTCTTATAATCACAAAGATATCGTACTTTCCATTCCCGGTTTCTCTACAATAAGTGTTTTTTAGTGTCAAATTAAGCAAACTATTTAATTAATTGGTGTTTCTTATGAATTATCATGTATTCTTAATCATATTATGTTCTTATTGCATATAACCAATCATAAATGTCCATGTAAGTACAGTCTGAATAAACAAAAAAAGACTTATTGACCTTTCTTGATTTGTCACCCCATGGAATTCTGCTTGTAATTCTCTTCTAATTTAGCTAATTATGAATTAATTATGGACATGTGAGACAAACTGGTATTTTTCTAAGTCATTAGAACACTTCTTCTATTCATATAAGTATTAACCCATCTTTAATATGGCAATTGTGTACACTTTCAAACTTTGATATAATATTCTTGTTCATATATGTCTAGGACTTACATTTAAACTGTGTACTATCTATTGAACCAGTATTCTGTGGATCACAAAATCGACATTTCTTCTGTATTTCTTTCCAATATTTAAATATCACATGTTTTAACCTTTGTTCAGCACTATCAGCATTCACCATAGGTGTTGATAATCTGGTTTTAGAACGGGATGTCCTTGACCCTTGTGAATCACTCTGAAAGTAATGATCAAAGTCCTTTGATTTGTTGTATTGGAGATAGCTTCTCAATGGAGGAATGGTGAATAACAGTTTTTATTCTAATAAGAAATGTCATATACTTTTCTTACGCAACATGAGTAAGACAAAAGCCCTATTGGACAAAAACCACTCTGCAATTTTGTACCATGACAAAAGCACCCCTAGACAATACAGAACCGAAATTCAAATATTTTTTGCATGCATTAAGCATAATGAAGGCAAATGGAGATAATGCCTCACTTTTGAAACGATAACCAAATCTTTTAAAAAAAGTTTTCAAGTTCACACAGGCTCTAATTTCAATTTCAGTTGCGCTTATGAAAATTGGAATTTTAAAGGAAAATTTCAGTTCAAATCTAATACAGGGAAACTAAAAGCTGTGATTTACTTACTCTGGTTATAGACCTTTGTGAAAATGAAGTTCGGGGTCTAATGGGAGATAACTCTACCTCCTGACCGGATTCTGATCTAGCTACAGAGGTTGGTTGTTGGTTGCCATGGATATATTCAGGATCATGAAATTTCAAAAACTCTACATATTCCAAATTACCATATTCATTGACAGGTAGACTGTTCCATAAAGATTCATACTAAAACAAAGAATTGAAAATCACCAAATTTCAAAAATACAACTCATACAAACTCTTCTGTTGGCATTGTTGGAAAAAAAAACCATGGTATGTCTCATAATTTCATTTTCAATTGACTAGAACATCAAAAAGAATGAACACTCATTTTCACAAGGTTAAACTTAGGTTCATGAGGATCTTTCACCAGCTTGGCAAAATCTCTTGACATTGATCTTTTCAGGTTATTATTACCAATTATTTACAGCTTGTTCAATTGATGAGAAAAGATGACTTATTCAAGAACATCAGACTTTCACATGCCAACCAAGATAAGAACCCACAACCACCATTTTAGGTAATGTAACCAAGTAATTGATTTCATATAATGTTTCCAATGCTCTTACAAACTTTGCTACAAAACCCTTTAGGACAGTTAGTTTTTAGAAATGAGAGTTAAATTCCAAAAATTCAGGTGCAAAAATAATAAAAACTGAAGCAACCAAAGGCTCAATAATGACATAAATCCTTTGATAAATACAGTTAGACAATGTGTCCATATTTCTTACCTGATCATCAGTAAGTTTAAATATCTCAGTGTCTAACACAATTTTAAAATCTTCTTTCCCAACAGCACCGATCTTAGCATAATCTATTTCTTCAAGTGCTTTAGCTAGAGTATGAAAATGGGCTACCACTGACTCTTTTAGTTTCTCTTCTACTGAATCTGGTGTTGTTTCCATGGAAACCAATTCTGCATCATTACTCACTAAAGCTGATTTCTTCAGCATACTCATCCAATTCTTAGATTCCTGTTAAAATATATCAAAATATGAAACTTATTCCTAAAACTGTGTAAAAGGTGTAACTAGTATAATACTTTTTCAGGGTGTTCATCAAATTGGAAACTCTTTCAGAGAATTCACATAAGTAATATTATTCATTTGATACATCAATCACAATATTCACAAAACGTAGACCCAAATCCTAGGATAAAAGATCAATAAAACTCTTACCGCTAGATTAACTGGAGAAAAATGATCTAAGAACACTCTATAAGTTATTATATTATCTGGTTCTCTAGTAAATTTATTGATGAAATGTGTCCACTGTTTATTGGTTAGTTTAAAACAGAATGTATCTATAACACGTCGTAGATTATTCACAGATATCATTCCTGCATTATCTTTATCAAATGATGCACAAGCCTGAAAAATGTGTCATACAATTTAAAATTAGAAAAAAAAAATCAAATCTCCTTCTTTGTACAATTCAAATTTCGGCGCAAATGTTTTTTTATTCATTTTTTTTTTTTATTTAGATGAGATGAGACAGTTGGGGTGGTTGATCTAGACACTAGCTTGCTAACTGGAAACTAATACCTGTGTCAGTATCACTGACATAAGAATCACTTCCTAATACCTAAATATGGCACAGTCAGTTTAGAGTTGATTTGTCGTCTGCTAGGCAATAGGTGTTATGGGTTCAATTCCTCAATTCTGATGCCACTCAGCACTTCCGTGTCAGCCCAGTGTAAATCTGGGATTCAATCTTGGCATGAGAAGAATAGTTCTTGTGTCGACATGAGAAACTTTCCCTCATATGACACTGCTTGGCATGGTCCATCTTCATTAGCCAAATTAAGACCTGTGCTCTTACTTTAGGGGATTTCAACCTAAATACCTTGTCAAACCTCAAACTAGATATTCAACAGCAGTAAAGACTAACAGATAAATCAATTTTCTGTGATTTATTTCAAAAAAATATATATAGAAGAAACAACTTTCAATAAGCTTACCTTTTCTAGTGTGTACTTTTGACTAGAAATTATCTTGCTGAGTTTGTCTTCTGCATCTTCAGGCGACAAATTAGAGTTATCTTCTCCTACAAAGTTGAACTCTTCTGTTTTTCTGGTTCCATAACTAGATTTTCTACCTTCTTCAAATGCTTTCAAGAAATCTTCGTAGTTCAATTTGCTTTGGTTTGTGTGAAGACCAATTCTAGAAGTATCAAATGAAATTGTGAAGGAAAAAGTTGAATTTGAAAAGAGCTTCTTAATTGAGAAAAATAGTCTTTGTTTCATAAACAGTCTTAGACCTCTTAAACACCTTTCTTAATTGTTAAAATTGATTGTAAGAAGTTTAAAGTAACAGATAATTTTTCACACTTTTTCCAACACAAATTCAGATGTCACGGAAAATAAAGTAAGCTTATATTTTAATCAAAATAATCAGACATAACTGGTTATTAAAAACTAAATCAGCATCCCTGCACAAGAAATCAACAATCAAATAAAACATAAAAAACTAACCTATCTAACAATCTGAAGAATTCCTCCTCATTGAGAAAGATGTTCAAATCCACTAGAACTCTCTGTATTTCATTAATAGATAAATACCCACGTTTCTTACTATCATAATTTCTAAAAGCTGTATAAAAATCTTTATATTTATCTCTTACTTTATCTCTGAAATAAAACATGAAAAGTTATGCACCTTCAGATTAAACTTTAGGTTCACCACCTTCATTTAAGTTAATGGTGCAAAAACTCCATTAATTTCATTCCACTAAAGTTAAGTTACTGGCCACATGTTCTCGAAATGATCTTAGCGCTACGATATCCTAGAAACAGTGTTATAAGTTAAGACTTCAAGACATCCTTGTCCTTGTGATCGTTTGAGGTAAGGATGCTGTGAAGTCAACTCTTGCCACATTTCTAATTATAAACTCAAGTTGGATTCAGGCTGCAAAAAGTTTTAAAGAACAGAAAATCTAGGTAGGATCAATGGTGAAACAGTGGTAGGAATGTCTAATACACAAGATTCTGGTGACCTTGAATAAGACATCTTTCCTCATCAACCAAACAATAAATCGGGATAATCCAGGAAGGATTATTGGTCAACAGTTTGGCCATGGATCAGTTGGTAGACATGATCCTTGACAAATATGAATATTTCTTACCTGAGCAGTTTTTCTACCTCTTCAGCAGTCATAAGCATTCCTAATTCAGCTTGTTTTAAAGTGGTGTCTTCGTGTTTATAATGTTGTTGTAGATTATGGTTTAATAATGTTTGTCGACTGCCATCTATTATATTTTGACTGGTTCCTTCATCAATAGGTGTAAACTCACTAGATCCTAACTTATTGAGAAAATCCTGATATGATACATAACCTTTTTCATCTTCATCATACCTAAAATAAAGCAAAGGTCAAAAGGTTATAAGGATAAATGTTCAAGAGGGCTGTCATAAGACCCTAACTGTAGTGTTTAGATTAAAAGTTTGGTTTAATTTTAATTAGACTGGGTCTGATCAATTTACCAACTAAATTAGGGTGAAATGGAAGTCAACTTAAAGATGTTGTTAATCAAGATGTTGGACCTGATACACCATAAGAAATCTATAACCCCTGATGCCAAGAAGTGAAGTTCGCATTTTTGATTTTTCCCAAATATTGATATCCAATATCTATAAAGATGATAAGGACTCGAAATAGACCTTGTATTAAGTATCTGTGATAAATGGTTTCTGTTACTCTAACATCCCTACTGTCTGTGGTTCTTGTAGCCTAATTCCTAAAACCCCTGTCAAATTATTGCATTACTACCAGTCAGACCAAATATAAAATAGTCTTGACTTACATTTTCCATAATTTGTCAAATTCCTCTTTAACATTAGATATCATAAATCTATTTAATACATTCCTCAATTCATTCTTTCTTATCACTCCTTTCTTCTTTCGATCAAAACCTAAAAATGCCTGAAATAAAGAAAATTATAATGTACTTTTGAGTACAAAAAGCCTTGAAAATAAAATTTTCTCACTAAATTATTTCTGTTTACAATAAAATTGAATGATAAAAGTCTAATAAAAAAAAAATTTGATCTAAACTGCTCTATTGATGTATGTCTGTTGTGGAGTCTTTACTGAATTTACATTACTGCTTACCTTTGCTAAATCAGCCCATTGTCTATGTGCTTTAATTTTCAGTTCTTCATGTGTTTCTTCTGCTGTTAATTTTCTAGGTGGTATAGTTTGGTTATATCTAGGATAAAAAAGACAGGTAAGACATCAAAATGTGCCATAATATTTTTGTATTTGTTTTGGTTGTAATTAATCTAAATTGATTGATATTCTTCCAAAATTTTACAGATAAGAATAAATTCAAAGAAATAATAAAAACATATTTTTACAACTTAAGTTCAAGATGATCTGTTTTCATGACATTTCAACAATTTACATAATCATCATCACTTAAACTACTTTTGAGATGCGTCATAAAATCTAAACCACACATGCAAATATAATTTTCAACCAACCTGTGAACAGATTTCAACCATTTATGACCAGCTTCAGTGTCACGGATCTCAAACTTGTCCAAAAAATCCTGATAAGTGAGTTTTGAAAATTTATCGATGCCCAATCTCTGACACAGGATCTCATATTCCTCATCACTTGTGACTATCATAAAATAATCTAACATATCACGAAAATTAATCTTGATTAATACTCCATCGTGATCATTATCAAACTTATAGAAAGCTGATCTTAAATCCTGAAAAAGTGAAAAGATGGGGTGAGCGCAGGCCATTTTCTTTAAACCCATAGGTTTCTCTTGTGCATTCAAATTTCAAAAAAAGCTCACATACGGAGCATATAAATATGCTTGATCGTACTTTTAAGTGAAAATTACATGCAGATTTACTATGAAATATCTGTTTTACAGTCTAAAGGCAGAGTTGAAACGTTTTAGTAAAAAATTTAGAAAATTGGACTATGATTAAAAAAAATAACCAAATGAAGTTCCTGAAACAATGATTTGTCTCATATGATTTATTTTGCAGTTCAGATCGTTAGTACTTGGTTTATTGATTGACATGAATGTAAAAACCAAGATTTTAAAATGTTTACAGAAATTGAAGAATCTGTGTCCAAGGAATTCTTTACAATTCTCAGTAAGCTGGAACATACTCTCACTATTAAAGAAAAGTTGGGTCAAGGAATCAATACTTACAGGAAAGTTATCTCTTAATTTGGTACGTAAACGATTCTCTACTTCTTGAGCCTTAAATCCAAATTCATCACCACGTATTGGATTAACATGGTGATTTCCTGTTCGTATAATATCTACCTCCTGTCCATTACGATTCTCAAAATTATTGATAAAATTCTTATATGACATGAAGCCATCTGAAAATTGTAATTTTGTAACCAGTTCTTGAAATTGTTCATCACTCATCACAAATCCCATATTATACAACAACTGAAAATATAAAAATTTGACTTTTATACAATAACTGAAATTATAAATATTTTACTTTTATACAACAACTGAAAATATAAATATTTTACTTTTATACAATAACTGAAATTGTAAAAATTTTACTTTTATACAACTGAAATTATAAAAATTTTACTTTTATACAACAACTGAAATTATAAAAATTTTACTTTTATACAACAACTGAAATTATAAAATTTTTAATATTAAACAACAACTGAAATTATAAAATTTTTAATATTGAACAACAATTGAAAATATAAAAATTTTGATATTATACAACAACTGAAATTAAAAAAATCTCTGTATTCTACAACTAACAATATAAAAATATCTATACAATACAACAACTGAAAATATAAAATCTCATATCAAATACAACAAACTGAAAATAAAAAATCTCATTTTATACAACAACTTAAAATATAAAATCTCATATTATACAACAACTGAAAATAGAAAATCTCATTTCATACAACAACTGAAATACAAATATTTTCATATTATACAACAACTGAAAATATAAAGATATCACTATCAAAATACAAAAATATACATAATATACAACAACTGAAACAAAAGTGAGTTACTTACCCTTCGAAAGTTTCTCTTTGATATCTTTCCTTTACCAGTTTTATCGAATGAGTTGAAAGCTTGATAAAGTAATGTATTATGTTGACTGAGTCTATCTTGTAATTTAGCTATTACTTCTTCTGCTGATAAAAAGTTAGTTCTCTCTTCTAATCTCTTGTTAATCACCAGTTGTCTACAATACAAAGATCGTGGTGATATGGTACTTATACTTATCACTCAGTGTTACGTAACACATTCACTTTTCAACTGACTTACGACTAAATTATGATAGTGACAAAAAAAAAAGCTTGGTCCAAATGGAATTGCAAGAACTACAAACTGAGCGAAATTAGAATGAGGCAAATTGATGCTATCAGTGTTCCTGATACACATAAAATTGAAATGAAAAGATTTGAATAAAAATAAAATTATTATTCCATAACCCATACTGACCTGTTTATATGATCAGAATGTCGTACATGTTCAGCTACTTTACTTCCTGCATAGATCTGTGAACTTAAACCACACAGGTCGCCTGGAGACACTTCCACTTTCAAATTCTCCAGAAACTCTATATAGTTTACTTTAGCATCAGATCCCAAACTTTTACAATTACTCACAAGTCTATAGTAAAACATAAAAAAAAGTACATAAATTTCTTTATTGTATGGAAAATATGTGAAACCTCCTTTAGCCTTCTAATGATTTGCTCTATAGATTATTAAAACTATCCATATCAGCCAGAATCAGACTTTGACATACCATTCTTTAATATTTCAGTCACACTTTGGTAGTTTAGACTATCATCACTTCCAAGAGAATGTTAAGAACAGTCTGGATATCAGCCTGGAAATGACAACAGTCTTAACTGGCAATTGAAGGAGAACCTGGTATCTTATTCCAATTCCTAAAAGTGATATGGATAGATAAAATTGAGTTCTATCAGATGGTTAGATAAATACTTAGAGGACAAAACGAAATGAAATGAATGGAGTTTTACGTCCTATTTTTCTGCACCATATGGGCTAATGAAGACGGGCAATGCCATGCAGGGTGCAATGAGGGAAATTTTGCCAGGACAGCGGCATTAGCCTGCTCTTTTTCGATTTCCAGCTGTCGAGGGATCTTTAACGTGCATAGCCTGTAGCACACAGCCTCGGTTTACTGTCCCATCCGAATGACTAGACGCTGTTTCCATGACAGACCCTCTCACCTGCTTCACTGACAGGGGGAAACCGGGTTGAAAAATCTCTGGTATTATCTCGACCTATGCCGGGATTGAACCCTGGACCTTCAGGTTAGCGAGCAAGCAAGCGTCTAACTCACTGAGTCACCGCAGCTCCCACTTAAAGGACTAGATCCTGGGTGTGCCGCTTTAATTATAGTGCTTACTTGTGAAAATGCTCATCTGATATAGGTAAAACATATTTATTGAGAACTCTCTTAAGATTTGTAGGAGATATAAAGCCTTCCTCTGAATGATCATAATATATTATAGCATCTGATACATTTCTCCAATTTTCTACTATCTTCTCTCTTAATATATCTTCAACCTATAAAAATATACTCAAATACATAAAGGCATGGTTTTATTTAAAGGGCAAGTTTTGACCGTCGGGCAGTGCAGATATATCAATAATATTAATAGAAAATATGATTAAAGGATGACAGTCCAGAAATTTCAATATCTAAAAAATTTCAAAAAACATTTAATAGTCAAAAATATGCCAAAATCAATGAATAATTAAAGAAATTATTTTTGTGTAATTTCTGGATTAATTAATGTTCTGAAGACCATGGAACTAGATCGCTTATGTTTTATTTTGTTGAATAACATCAGTTTTTCTTATTGAATTATAGACAAGCCAGATGTTTATTTGGAAAAGTGACACTGGAAGCAGAAATTAAACACTACCAGTACATAAGACATCTATCATATATACCTTTAATAACATAATCATTCTTATGATAACATGATACTTAATTATAGTATCAACATATTATATATACTTAATTACATAAATCATGTTAACATAATATACAGCAATACTATATAATTTAAACTGATATTTCCACTAAACTTCTGTGTATAGTTCAGTGAAGATTTTGTGCCCATTGTGGGTTTTATCAATATCAAGAACAGGTGATGTTCTAGGTCATTAAAAATATTCAACAAATCAAATGCTGTATTCAATATATGATTTATGCAGGAATTATGGGCTATTTTAGCTCACGCGTGAGCATGTTTTTGATTAGTTAGAATAAATTCTGACAACTTTTGATGCATTCAAAAGAATACTATCTTCAGAAAAGTTTTGTCAGATCATGGACAGCAAGTGTGAAAACCCTCAGAAAAAACAATAAACTAAATATCTGTAATTTAGCTCGATTGATTGTGATTTATGACTTCTTCAAAATAGGATACTTACAGTGCCCCATGCCATTATAATGGGTTTCTGTTTTTCATTGAATCTATGAACTGAATTCAACCATTTATGACCTTCCTAAAAAAAAAATTGATAGAAACTGAAGTTTGTCATCTTAGCCTTTTAAGGGATTTTCCAGGGAACAAACTGGATCAATAAGGAAGTCAATTAAGCTTTTTATTGGATTCAAGCAAAGAATGATGTTCCCAACGTTCCACAATTGTCTTTTTTCATAAAAAATATTTGACTTTAAGATCCTAAACATCTTACTTTAAGAGATTATGAATTCTAAAAATTGTCAAAATGTGTCTTTTTTTCCCTGCGAGTATCCCTCACCCATGTCTCCTATTAAAAGTATCCCTTACCCAAGTATCCCTCTCCTCAAATAGCTTGAGAAATTGATGATAAGTGACATGGTTGGTATGATGTGGATCTAATTTTAACATAACACATTTAAACTGATTATCATCTAATGGGAACGTAAACTTCTCTAAAATTCTTCGAAAATCTTTTCTTGTAACTTTACCAGTTCTGTTCTATAATGAAAACAACAGTTTATTGATCACAGTTATTAAGCTATATCACTATCATCTTAGAAATCAATTCTTATTTAGCAAATAAACAAAACTTTTGGACCTTCTGTCTCAAGCCCACTTATATTACATGGAAAAAATGGATTCTTCAGAAAACAGTCTTGGTCAAAAGATCTAAGTGATCAAAATGAACTCGAAATTTTGGTTGACTATCCACAAAACAAACCCCAAAACAGTCAGAATGAAGCCAGATAACTAAGGGTCAATCGTATCTAGAACCCCCTAAACCATTAAGAGAAATATGGCCTCAAAAGTTAAGGAGGCCAAAGCCAGACCAATTTTGGACAAGAAAAGAAAGTATTTAAAATCAAAATCAATTTGGTGTACTTACTATATCAAATTCAAGAAAAGCCTGTCTAAATGATGAATAATGTGATTCTATACTCTTATAAAGTTGATTCCATACATCTTCAGATAATACTGTACATTGCTTCTCCATTACTGGGAAAAATCTACAAAATACATATAATAATTTTTACATATTCAGAAAGAATATCTGTTGAACAGATTATCAGAAATGTTGTTTTAATGTACCTAGGACAAGCTTCTAATGTCAATGTTCCAATTTTTTATTTGCAAGAATATTCTGAAATTATCAAATCTGCATGACGTTGGTTGACAATCCAGTAACGATATTATGGTATATTAATAGCTTTTCGTACTTACTTATGATTGTTCTTTATTGGTATTGTTTGTCCATTGCCAGAGTCCATTGGATTTTGAAATTTCTCCAGGAATATTTCCCAAGCAATTCTGCCTGTACCTCTTATACCACATCTGTAGTGAATAAATGAATATATTTCTAACACGGATCTTGATTCGCCTATTGTGATATGTGCAACTGATCATGTCTGAAAGAGTTTGGCTATGATGATGACGTCTGGTATTTTGAGGGAAAGCAAGTGTCTTCAAATCGATGCACACAGTTCCAAAACCAATTTTCCATGACATACACATTAGCCTACTTAATGGATTAATCGTTACCTTATCATTACACAGATAGCCTCTACTTGAAAGTAATTAGCAGAAAATTGAAATTTTTACCTTTCCATGAGTCTAGTGAAGAGCTGATTTGACATTGGTATTGTGAAATTAGTTAATATAGCTTTTAAATCATCTATATTGATAAACCCTGATAGACTCTTATCAAACGCTAAAAACGACTTCTTTAAATTGACATAGTTTGATCTCATCTGAAATAATATGACAACTAAAATCACTAAGACCATTAATAAAATAAATGATTATGCTAATGAAGACAGGCAACACTAAGCAGTTCATTTTTAAAAGTGACACAGATAGCTGAAATTGAACCCATTACATAGAAAATCAAACATTTAGACAATCACTTAATGACCTTAATAAAAAAAAGTTTTAGATTGGATTACGAAATTTTGATAATTTTCTGACCCGTTTTCTGAATTCTTGTTCAATTTGCTCAAAAGACATTTTTTTCAACCATTGTTCTTCTTGTTTATATTGATGGCGGAGTCTATTATCCACACTCTTTTCTGACTGGAGCAAACCAATTGGCTGAGTTAATGCTAAAAAAGGTAACATTTTTCAATTTGAATTATTCTTTATGTTAAATTCAGAAATCCCTCTCCTATTGGACACAAATTTATGGGTTTTAGTTGACACTGTGAGTTTTGCACTAATTTCCTTGCTACAAGAGAAAAGTAGGGGTCAAGTAATGTAATTCTGGTCAGTTCATGAGTTTAGTGACCTTGAACTAGTCCTGACACAATGTCTTAATTGACTTAATAATTAACTTACAGCTGTGTACAGTATTGGATGGTAGTAATTTATTAATCTGAAAACCTAATTTCTGTAATAATTCTTTATAATTAATCATACCAGTATGATTAGTGTCATATCTTAGCCACAACCTACAATTAAATATACAATTAATTAGCATTTGATTCGTTAAATACTGATATTAAATGATCCTGAATAAAAGATGTATAAAAAAGCATGTTAGATCATGAATAAGTTGAATAACCTGAAACAAAACATGAAACATAAAATTCCAGATTTTTTTAAAATCAGATTGCCTGGACAGCCATCACTCTAGTGTGTGACTCTTTATTGAACACATTCCAAAATGATCTAAACTTAAACAAATTAAAACAGGTGAAATACTTACTTATCAAATTGTGAATCAGTGAGTTTAAAACAATAATTCTCTAAAACACGTCGGAATTCATATCTCTGTATTTTACCATCAAAATTATAATCAAATAAACGTAAAGCTTTTGTTATAGACTTTAAGTTTTCTCTGAGCTGAAAAAATAGGTTGGACATAAAACACAGAACCTGTTTTCAGAAAGTTTAAAACTTACAACTCTATCTCTTAGAATTAACATAAAATTTATATTCTCACACTTGGCCTACAAGAGTGTATATTCTTCAGTGACCTAATCACATCATAACTATACAACAGGATTCCTCTTTAATCGCACAAATCCATAAAAATAAGAAATTATTGAAAAGGCCTTAAAGTTTAAAAAAAAAAAAAATACCTTTTCTTGCAACATTTTTTCCAGATTTTCCACCCCAACATCTTTGACAGCAGGCGTATGTAGGTTGTTTCTGAAATACAAAAGAACTGAAGATATATACTGACAGAAAGGTGAATGAGAGCATCCATCTATAAAACTCAATCAAAAAAATACTAGTGTTTGCCTAAATTCTTCAGCACCTGAAATATTTGCTAAAAATCCACTTCTTTTTTAATTCAAAAGATCTTTGATCAACAGACAAAATAATCATACCTCAATAACAAGTCATCAGAAGTTTTCTGTAAACTTTTTCCTCCTGAAAACTTCTCTAGAAACTTCAAATACAATATACAACCATCATTATTCTGTTCAACCTGAAGGAAGAAGAAATGGACAACGTTGCCTTAAGTTGTATTGTAACTGGGTTAAGGGAGTGAGTTAGACGCTTGCTTGCTAACCTGAAGGCCCAGGGTTCAATCCTAGCATAGATCGAGATGACACCTTTTTCAACCAGGTTTCCCCCTGTCAGTGATGCAGGTAAGAGGAAAAAGTGTCCTGTTGTTTGGATGTGACAATAAACCGAGGCCCCATGTGCTACAGGCTGTGCACGTTAAATATCCTTCAACAGTTGGAAATCAAAAAAAGAGCAGGCTAATAATGTTGTCCTGGCAAAATCAATTACATGCAGAAAAGGAAGACATACAAATCCATTTATTTTTTTCTCAATATATAAGCTTAATTGTGCATTACATGGATATTGTGAATGAATGCAAAGTTGAACAAGTACATCCAGGTTAACCAAAATGGTTCCAACTTATTATTTAAAGTCTGTAGTTACCTTAGTTAACAATGTATCATATTGATGTGATGTTAAAGGAAAACAATGTGATGTTAATACTGAACGGAAATCATCTCTTGTTACTGTACCATCTTTTTTAACATCATGTGACACCAGAGCCTTTGATTAGAAAAAAGAACAGTATCTAAATATTGTTTTTTGTAGTTTTTCACAATACAAACTTCATTTATATGTAACTGAGATCAGTTTCAATCAATGGACTTTACCTTTCAGTCTCTCCAAGAGCTTTCACTTTTTTCACTAAGTTTAAAGTAAAAACTGCCATTCACTTTGTGCTAATCGCACATTTTTCAACGACCTGGGAGCCTATTTCTTAAAATCTTAACTAAGATCAAATCCAGATTTTAAGAAATCCAGTAATCTGATTGGTTGAAAAAAACAAATTCAAAATCGATTTTAATGCATGACCAATCAGATTAATGGAACACATAATCAACCAAAGGTCCACATTGATGAGGTTGAATGTTTCCAAAAATCCAAATATCATTAAGAAGTAAAGGAAATACCTTTTGGATATTTTCATAATTTTGATGTAATTTTTCTCTCAATATAGTTTCAATTTCTAATCTTGAGAATCCTGGACGACTTGTACTAAACCTTTCAAGACGACCTGAAAGCATGATAATTCAAAGTTGAAGAACCACTGACAACTGTGTAAAGTTTAAACTATTATTATGAGATACAATAGACCTTGAAGCAGCCACAGTAAGCTTCCGTCGTCAGTCACTGTTGACCTTTAGAAGCCGTTGTCGGCAAGGTGTACGAACAGCTCAATGCTGGACAGAAGTCAACTTTTGAGATTAATTACAACATCTATTTAATTTATACTTACATAATCGCATTCAAAGTAGAAGTCAAGTCAACTCAAGTCATGTGAAGTCAGAGTTCAGCAGATTAGCCGACTTGGCCACTGAAGTGTTAGCAAAGTTGGTCATAGTTATAACAAAGACTTGCATACAGGTCGAAGATACACTGTAGAGAATACTCAAACAAAAATATTTGTGCATGTCTGAGTACCTTACCTTAATTCACACATAAAATTTACATTTTCAAAGCTTATACCCATGTTGACTGAAGGCTTTTATCTACACCTTCTATTTATAAGATTACATCATTCAATGTTTAGTAAATTCCATTACATTTATATCAGTTTTATACCTATTTATTTAATGGCTACACACTCTCACCTCTGTAAGATCTAGCTGTTTTGGGTTGAGATATACTTTGTCTTGTACGTAGAATAGGACGTTCAGATAACTCACTTCCCACTCTAGCACTCATAGGTAACAGATTCTGACTTACAACAGCCATCTTTTATGTTAGACTTTGCCTGAAAAAAAACAAACATGCCATTAATAAGCCAGTGAGGAACATATTCATGTATAACACACTCATTCCCTACTTCCCTCTCAGGATAAACAACATCAATTTACTATGGCTGCCTATGGCCATTAAGAATGTTGTTCACAAAGTATAATCATGAGGACATGAGTCTAACAATTGCAAATGTAGTAAACACACTGTATTAGATCTATTTTCATTGCTGGCCAAAGACCACCATAGTAAATTGACTTTTATCCCCAAGGCCCAATAAGAAAATGAACGTGTCGCACACATGCACATATAGACATAGTTCCGTACTAACTTTTAGAGAAATGACATTGAAAAATGAATAGGGGTACCCTACAATAACAATTGTACCATAGTTCGAATGTTGTCTAATTACAGGTATCCTGTATATGTTAATTGATATGATAAATAGATTATGTCAATATTTCTTATTGACTGATTTGATCATTATTTGGCTACTATTTCATAATAATATGCAACCACATGGAGCAGTCATACCAAACTATAGTCAAGTGAAGTCAGCCGACTGAAGTTTCAGCTAAGTTTGTTTGTCACTGCAGAGGGTTATCACAACGTCAACGACTTGCTGTGGCTGTATAACTTGCTTAGCTTCTGTATATAACTTATAAGATAAAGTTTGCGTGACTAACTTAATAGGCCTAACAGAGGGAAGCCGGCAGTTTCAAATTTTATTTATGATTGAAGAAAATATAATCTCATTTCTCTGAGAAAAACTCAGTTGCTAAGAAAAATCCGCCATGTTTCTATTGTAAACAACATAGCGCCACCTTAAGGAAAGAACCACAGTTGCTTCCCCTTTTACGTAAATAGTCTCTTTTGTCAAGCCTTATGATATCTTTATTATATATGGCTGCCTACCTATACCTACCTCCCCTCTATATGC